TTTCTCAGCACCTCCAAGAGCAAAGCCAGCTTCTTCATGTCGTGAGCTTGCAACAGGGGTTGGGGCTGGGTGGGGGCTGGGTTCCAGGCTGGCGGGACAGCCAGGGGCAGAGAGGGTCGGGGCAGGATGAAGGTGGGACGAAGTGAGGGACAGTGGCCAGACACATCCATTCTAGTGCAGAAGAACTAAAGGCAAGAAAGAGACCGCTCGGAACGGCTCGCGCCAAGCCTGGACAGCAACTGCTCTTTCTCACTCGCAGACACGACCAGCGCTTCTTCGTAAAGACCCAGACAGGTCACGAAGTGCAGGTGCTGCTCACCCAACTGTGCGGCTACGTGCAGCACCTCGTGCAGTACCCACACTCGCTGCTGGCTAAGTTGCTGGGTATGAGGCTTGAGGCGGGTCCTAAACCTCAAAGTGCCTGGGGAGGGCGGGGTCTGGGAAAGGGGCCGATCCTGGGGCGGGGCGCAAAGTGGCTGGTCAGGATGGAAGAGAATTGCTTGGGGTGGTGTTTCGGGGTGGGGCAGCGCTGATTGGGAAGGGGCAGGGATTCAGAAGGGAGTCTGGGGGGCGGGACTGGAGTGACAGGCCCAGGTATGAGGTGGGTCTTGAGGAAGATGGAGCAGGGAACTGCAGTCACATGGCTCCGCGGTTGTGGAGCTGGAGGCCTTCTCCTCTTTCAGGCATTTACAGTCTGCAGGTGGCCAACCGGGCAAAGGTGAGTGTGGTGGAGGCGAGGTGGCTCGGCAGTGGGGGCTGCTGGAGGGTGAGGTCCCGCGCTTCCCTCACTGCCCCGTCCTGTCCCCAGAAGTACTTCATTGTCATGCAGAGCGTCTTCTATCCCGTCAACCGCATCTCTGAGAGGTGAGTCCCTCTGGAAGGGATACAGGGTTCCGGCTCCACAGGGAAAGCGCAGTCCGAGGCCCCGAAACTTACCCTTTAGACCGCCGAATAGGCTCAGCGAGAACAGATCCTCCCAAGTTCCAGTAGGAGGGAGACACTTCTCTTTAAAATGCGTGGGGTTAGCCGGATGGTGGTGTCACATGTCTTTAATCCCAGTACAGAGGCAGACAGAACTCTGTGGTTCGAGACCAGCCTGGGCTACAAAGCGAGTTCCAGGACAGGTTCCAGGGCTACACAGAGAAACCCAGTTTCAACCCACCCCCCCACCCCGCAAATAACATGTGTGTGAACATGAGTACCCTGCCTGTGGAGGCCAGAAATGACGTTGGAGGAGCAGGGTTACAAGCAGTTTTGAGGCGTTCTTGGTGCATGTTCTGAGCTGAACTCTAGTCCTCTGCAAGAGCCTCCCCAGCCTCTCAGTACTGACTTTGAGGTTCAGTTTATATTAGGGCATGATATTTCCTATGACTCTGGCTATATTTCAAGGACTCGGCAACCACTTATGTCCAATGCCTGCCTGTCAGCTACGCTCCGTCCTCAGCCTCCTAGTGTAGCTCATGGCTGTATCGTGTTCCCACACCTAGGTCCATATCTGGGGGTCCGGAGGGCCAGAACTGCCAGCTGCTGCCCGACGTTCCCAACCCCCTTCATGTCTTGGTCGGTCCAGAACAACGTTCTTTTCTGGGATTGGTGGATCTGACCACTGTCTATGGGTGTCAAAAACGGCGGGAGCAGGTGTGGAAGATGATACGCTATCCAGGCCAGTCCTTCTGCACGGTCAGCCCGGATCGCTACGCCCGTCGCATGTATCAGTGGGTGGAGACCCACACCAAATGACTCGAACCCGTCTGAGTTCTCAGCTAGACATTTACAGTGCAACCAGCCCGCAGTTCCTCCTGTTAGCCACAGGTGGGTAGCATCCCCTAGCGAATGCTCTAACTTCTCAGCCTCTTGCTGTGACGTTGCTGTGCTGTTTAAAGCAAGGATTTCCTCCTCCCTTCTGCTCCTCCCCTTAGCTGATTGTCTACAGGGCAGAAGAGGGCACCAGATTGAACTGCAGGTGGTTGTGAGCCACCATGTGGTTGCTAGGAATTGAACTCAGGACCTTTGGAAGGGCTTCAGTGCTCTTAACCGCTGAGCCATCTCTCCAGCCCATGAATAAACTTTTTTAAGCCAGCATATCTAATCTCCACATCTTTCTCATCTTCACTTCTAGCTCCCCTCTGGGTTATCCCTCCCACTACCCCAAGGCCCTGCATGATAGGGACTGTCTCTAATTCCTACAGCCTCTGTCGTCTCTTGTGGGGAACACATCAAGTCCCTCTGCACCCCTACTCCCATCATTCTAATCTATACTTCTCAAGCACCACTTTGTGCTGGGCACTGAGCAGGGAGCTGAGGGCCCTGTGGCCCCTGCCCTGGTGGCACTCCCACTTTAAGAGGTCTGATTGATAGACCAATGACATAAGCAAGAGAATCCCTCGTGTCAGTGGTGGTGAGAATAAAGGCAAGTGACCCAGAGTGAGGGGCAGCATTTGCTGTCTTGAAAGGACCCAGGAAGGACCTAGGTAAACAAAGTCCAGTGGGACGTCTACTAGGGAGCCAGGCAAGTGGGAAACTTGGAGGTGGCGGCTGAGGCTCAGGGCAGGCAGGTGTTTGGTGTGGAGTCTAGAGGAGGGCAGATGGCCTGGGCTGTGGCGAGGTGTTTGAATTCTGTTCCACTGCCAAGGAAAGTCACTGGAGGCTTAAAGTACAAGGGTGGCACCATCCCGTCTATGCTTTTAAAAGATCCGGCTAGCCGCTGTGTCCCCCCAGCAGGCTCACTACGAAATCTCCGGAGTCTGACACTGCTCTGACCCCCACTGGATGCTCCAAATCACACGGAAGAGTGTGCTGACTTCTGTAAGACGTGGGTGATAGACACTTCTTTCTATGCTTGTAGTTTCTGACCCCAAGAGACAGACAAAGGCAATATGTCTACAAAGACAAGATCACGATTTAGGCTACCTGCCTTCGGGACCAGCTTCCGAAGAACCTTCAGGCAAAGGTTCTGTTTCTGGCACCACAAAAGATGCACAGTGGCCCCGTCCACCTACAGCCAGGGTTGGGAGGATACTGAAAAAACGGAGGTGGAGCCCGCAGGCAAACACCAGAGCCCCGCCGGCAGTTCGGGAGCAACCCTGTCCAGTAATTCTATCCACCAGTACCACCGCCAATGCTCAACGGCCCCTCCCGGCCAGGTCCAGGGTCCTGAGGATGCTGCAACCCCAGAGGCAGGACCTGAGGGAAAAGTCCAGTGCCCCGTTAGCAGACACAGCTTAACATCGAACAAAAAGGAGATTGGCCGGTCGTGGGCCAAAGGTGGAGCCTGTTTCCTGCGATGGGGCCTCGGAGACACAGCCAAAGCCAGAGAAACAGCAGCTGGGGGCGATGGCCGCTCCAAGCCCTGAGCCCCACGAGGTAGGTGCCCAGATGGAGCAGGGACAGAAGAGAGAAGGGTGAGTGAGCAGGTCCCGCCTTCCTCTTGGCCAGAGGCGTGGACACGCCCCCATCTCATCAGGGTGGGACTCTGCTCTGGAAAGACCAGGACAGGCCCCACCTGGGCGCAGGTATGAAGGGGATGATTATCAGGTGGGTGTCTCCCCGCCTCCCAGGTCTTCCTCGGTTTCCTCATCAGGAAAATGGGGAAGAAAAGCTCTTCCATACAGCTGTTAGAAGAAGAAGGCATGCTTTGTCTAGACTCTATTTCAATACCACGTGCCAGGTGCTATGTGGCCTCTCAATGCCTGGGGAGTGGCTAAAGCATTATCCCTATGTTTGGGGGGTTTGTTTGGTTTTTGTTTGTTTTTGTGAGACAGGGTTTCTCTATTGTTTTGGAGGCTGTCCTGGAACTCGGTCTGTAGACCTGGCTGGTCTCGAACTCACAGAGATCCGTCTTGCTTTGCCTCCCGAGTGCTGGGATTAAAGGCGTGCACCACCGACGCCTGGCTATTTACCCCTGTGTTTTATGACCAAGGCAGGTGAAGCAGAGAAAGACCAAGGGGAGATTCCCAATTAGGGGAGTTAGCATTTGAACCTGCACCCTTCCTCTCAGAGACACCTCATGCCTGCTTTGTTTTCTGTGCCTCTTCCCATCAGATCCCGGCCCCTTCCCTGGAGCTTGTGGCGTGGATTCCGAGACAAGAAGAACCGAGTGGGCCTGGTTGAAATCGATAACACCAATGAATATCACACCATCACCAAAATTATGCAGGCGTGGGCTGTGGGCTGCCTCCCAGGTCTCCATAGACAACCCGCCCAAGGTGAATGGCCAGTCCATCCCATGCGCCTCAGACTCCAAGAGGGAGGGAGACCCCGCTGGCTATCTGTCTCACTAACACTGTGACTCTAGGGGTCAAAGGGACCTACCAAAAAGAGGGAGGCAGGAATTGTCAGGAGGCAGAATTTCTGGGCTGGGAAGCTGGAAAGCCTAGGAGGTGTGAGCTACTCCCTGCTTCAGGTGGTGGGTGTGTGCTTCAGGCGGGCCTCTCTATCCCTAGGTCTCAGTACCCCTATCTATATAATGGGTAGAGGGGTTACTACCCCCTGGTTGCTGAGAACCTGTGCCCTGCCTGCTTGTATGGCTAAGAAGGGACCCCCACCCCCACCCTGCCTAACCCAGCCCATCCTCCCTGGAGCCTGTCAGGCTGGAGCCCATGCTGGCTCAGCAGAAAGGGTCACCTAACTGCCAGCTCAGCAATCCAGTAGGCTGGTGAGCCTGCATGTTGTCTGTGTGTGCACACGTGTACACAGTCCAACCACCGTATGTGGAAGAAATTCCCTAGACCTGCAAAAACTCTCCTGTGTCTCACTGGGACTGAGTTCACTCTGAAGATACTGTTGGCAGCCCGGCTGGTGGTCCAGTCTCAGCCACACACTTCTTGGCTCCAAACACTTGAACCCTCTCACCCTGCCCCTGGCTACCAGTGCTGAGGGCCCTGCATCTCCAATCCGTCTCCCTTCAGATTTCCCCTCAGAGGTCACCTTCCCCAGTCAGCCTTCTCCAGTCTGGCTCTCCCAGGCTACCCCTGGCAGATCACTTGGCTTCAAGGGCCTTTCCTTTTGCTGGGATGAGTGTTCGAGAGTTCAAGTGTAGCAGGCTTGAACTCACAGCCTGGTCCTGGAGACTCAGTGGTGGCCAGATAACACACACCCATGGGGCCCTGCCTCAGGTCACGCCCATCCTTCCTCCAGCCCTGGGTGAACCAGAAGCCCAACTGCCCAACTCTGGCTGACAAGACTCGTCGGGTCCCTGTTTGCTAAAGTAATGGACAAAGCTGCGAGTTGTATTCCCAATCTCTGGGTAGGCAATGGCAGACCCTGCGTTTCTCTGAATCCCTCTATTCACCCCTGCAGGGACCTGCAACTCTGAAAGATTTTGCAGAAATCAGGACTCAGGTTCACAAAGAGGTAAGGAGTCCAGGAAGAACTGTCTGCCTGGGCCCCCTCCTCCTCATCTGTGAGTGGGAGCGATGCTTGTTTCCTGAACCTTGCTGGGTCCTGCCTCTTGCAAACCAGGCGCAGCTTCATAAGCCTGGACCCGCGTGGATGGATTCCCTTAGGGCTGCTTTCTCCGGTACAGGGCTTCCAGCTCGAAATTTTGGCGGGTCCAGCTTTTGCACGCCTGAGGAAAGGTGTAGGCCTGAATGAAGAGGACTATCAGGCTGCTCTGGGTCCCGGTAACCCCTACCTCCAATTCATCAGCACGTCGAAAAGCAAAGCCAGCTTTTTCCTTTCGTGAGCTTGCAACAGGGGTTGGGGCTGGGTGGGGGCTGGGTTCCATGCTGGTGGGACAGCCAGGGGCAGGAGGGGGGTCAGGGCCGGAGGAAGGCGGGACGAAGAGCTAAATGTAACCCTTACCTTCAATTTCTCAGCACCTCCAAGAGCAAAGCCAGCTTCTTCCTGTCGTGAGCTTGCAACAGGGGTTGGGGCTGGGTGGTGGCTGGCTTCCAGGCTGGCGGGGCAGCCTTGGGCAGAGAGGGTCAGGGCCGGATGAAGGCGGGACCAAGTGAGGGACAGTGGCCAGACACATCCATTCTAGTGCAGAAGAACTAAGGGCAAGAAAGGGACCGCTCGGAACGGCTCGCGCCAAGCCTGGACAGTAACTGCTCTTTCTCACTCGCAGACACGACCAACGCTTTTTTTTGAAAACCCAGACAAGGAAGGAAGTGCAGGTGCTGCTCTCCCAGCTGTACAGCTACGTGCAGCACCTCGTGCAGTACCCACACTCACTGCTGGCTAAGTTGCTGGGTAGGAGGCTTGAGGCGGGTCCTAAACCTCAAAGTGCCTGGGGAGGGCGGGGTCTGGGAAAGGGGCGGATCCTGGTGCGGGGCAAAAAGTGGCTGGTTAGGATGGAAGAGAATTGCTTGGGGTGGTGTTTCGGGGTGGGGCAGCGCTGATTGGGAAGGGGCAGGGATTCAGAAGGGAGTCTGGGGGGCGGGACTGGAGTGACAGGCCCAGGTATGAGGTGGGTCTTGAGGAAGATGGAGCAGGGAACTGCGGTCACATGGATCCCTGGTTGTGGAGCTGGAGGCCTTCTCCTCTTTCAGGCATTTACAGTCTGCGGGTGGCCAACCGGGCAAAGGTGAGTGTGGTGGAGGCGAGGTGGCTCGGAGGTGGGGGCTGCTGGAGGGTGAGGTCCCGCGCTTCCCTCACTACCCCGTCCTGTCCCCAGAAGTACTTCATCGTCATAGAGAATATCTTCTACCCTGTCAGCCGCATCTCTGAGAGGTGAGTCCCTCTGGAACGGATACAGGGTTCCGGCTCCACAGGGAAAGCACAGTCTGAGGCCCTGAAACTTACCCTTTAGACCGCCGAATAGGCTCAGCGAGAACAGATCCTCCCAAGATCCAGTAGGAGGGAGACACTTCTCTTTAAAATGCGTGGGGTTAGCCGGATGGTGGTGTCGCATGTCTTTAATCCCAGTACCGAGGCAGACGGAACTCTGTGAGTTCGAGACCAGCCTGGTCTACAAACCGACTTCTAGGACAGGTTCCAAAGCTACGCAGAGAAACCCTGTCTAGGGGTGTGCTGAGGTTTGGAGTTGTCGTCCATCGTGTTTTAACACACACAGGAACAGTCACATCTGGGTAGCTTTTGCTTCCAATGGTCTCTGTGTGTGCCTACCCCTCAGGTATGACATCAAGGCGTGTACTTTGAGCCGCTGGGTGGAGCCAGTCCCCGAGGACAGCCCCCTTCTCCTGGTGTTGAAGGACCTCAACTTTGATGGAAAGACCATTGACCTGGGTGAGTCACGTGGTCCTTTTCCTCCATTCAGGGCCAGGTTTGGAAGAAGGGGGTCCTTAGGACTCCCCCTTGCCCAAATTCTTAGCAGCCCAGGATTCAAACCCGTGTTCCAGTCTTACACATCTTATACAACTGGGGGGGTACAAGGGGAATCATAGGATGGGGATTGGTCATGACAGCCACACTTTTGGGGCAAGCTCAGGTGCAGCCAGCACACGATGAGGACTCAGGTGGGGTCTGGTGCTCTCACAGGACCCCAGCGGAGCTGGTTCCTCCGCCAAATAAAAGTGGACATTGAATTCCTGCGGGGCCACGGAGTGCTGGACTACAGCCTCCTGGTGGGCATTCAGCCTCTTCACGAAGATGAAAAGAACCGGTTCAGCTTTGTCCGCACCATCAGGTGAGCATTGGCTCCAGGCGCAGAGCAAGGACAGGTGTGGAAAGGTAGGCAGTGAGGGATAAGACTGCCTTCCCTCTGGTGGCATGGCATGGGCTTGAAGGCTGGGAAGCACTGTGTGATGTGTGTGTGATGTGTGTGTGTGGTGTTATGTGTGTGGTGTGTGCATGCGTGCATGTGTGTGTGTGTATGTGTGTGTGTGAGTGTGTGTGTGTTTGTGTGTGTGTGTGTTGTAGCACGGCTGCTGGGGAACAGAACTGAAGGAGTCCTGTCTGGACAAGGCCTTTTAATGATGTTTTGAGTAGTCTGCCTATTTTCTGACAGGACAGATGGGGTCACCAGGGGTTTCTGAGCAGGGACAAGACCCGACCAGTTTTGTGCCCTCTTACCCAGTCATTCCATCTCTAGACCCCTGAAGTCATCACCCACCACTGGCATCATTGTATCCTGTGTAGAAGTAACTGGCACGCTATTCATGTTGACCATGACCCACACTGAGACCGTGAACATTTTCTCACTTGACAGATGTGAGAAGCAAGCTCGGAGCAGGTGGGGGAAGTGACAGGGCTTCTAATCTGATAGCAGTTCCCAAGGCTCACCCCTAGGCTGAACAAAAAGGCCATTTAAGAGGCCAAGCCTGGTAGATGTGGCCTTAAAGCAGGCCTTTAATCCCAGCACTGCGTGGGGAGTGGGCAGAGGCAGGTGAAGCTCTGAGTGCAAGGTCAGCCTGGTCTAGAGTGAGACCCAGGCCCATCGATCTATTGCACAGCCGGGGGAAGTAAAAGATAAGGGTACCCTCAGCTCTCTGCAGCTTCTATGCCGGCCCCATCTACAGCAGAGGCCTTGAGGGTGGAGGAATTTGAGTAGGATTCAGAGCGATTTCCCACACACATACACACACACACACAGAGTCACAGCCCAACCACATCTGGATCAGAGGTGAAGGGGCATCCATGGAGCAGTGTTGCTCCAGCTCAGCTCTTACCCACTGCTAATGTATCAAGCTGAGCACTCCCAAGACCCAGTTTGCACAGGACAGTCATGTTGAAATATTTCTCAATAAGCTCACACCTCCCCAGCTTCCAGGTTAATCCTGCCCAGGCTCTTCTGCCACGTGTTTTAATTGGTTGGTACTGTGGTGGGTCTTGTCTCTCATTGGTCGTCTTTTCTCCAAGAGCCCACCCTCAGCATAGGAATAAAGCCCTATAGCAGTGGTTCTCAACCTGTGGGTCTTAAACCTCCTTGGGCTGCACACCAGATTTCTACAGATCAGATATTTAAAAAGTCACAGCTTTAGGGAGGTTGAGAACCACTGCCCTAAGCATTCCCTGGGGGACAAAGTAGAGTCTGCTCCTAAGACTTCATTTAAGGGAGATCACAGGTCTATAAACTGTTCTCAGTTTTTCAGCTCTTTGAGCCTAAGGCTTCTAGGATTAGACTACCCACAAACAGAGATTTAGGAGATACAACATGAAGAACAGTTTGTTTAACCTCAGTGACTGAGATTGGCCCTCCCCAACAGAAATATAATTCAGACAACAGCCCTATGTCTCATTCATAGGCACTGGCCACAGCAGCTGCTGAGTCTTTGAAATATATAAATAATTTTTTTCCCTGGTAGCCTCATTTATAAATGTTAAAAAAAAAACACTGGGTGATGGTGACACACACCTTTAATCCCAGCGCTTAAGAGTCAGAGGCAGGGGGCTGGAGAGACGGCTCAGAGCACTGACTGCTCTTCCAGAGATCCTGAGTTCAATTCCCAGCAACCACATGGTGGTTCACAACCATCTACAATTCAATCTGGTGCCCTTTTCTGGCATGTAGGCAGAACACTGTATATGAAATAAATAAATAAATCACTGTATAAATCTTTTAAAAAAAAGTCAGAGGCAGCCGGGCGTTGGTGGCGCATGCCTTTAATCCCAGCACTTGGGAGGCAGAGGCAGGCGGATCTCTGTGAGTTCGAGGCCAGCCTGGTCTACAGAGTGAGTTCCAGGACAGCCTCCAAAGCCACAGAGAAACCTTGTCTCGAAAAACCAAAAAAAAAAAAAAAAAAAAAAAAGTCAGAGGCAGGCAAATCTCTGTGAGTTTAAGGGCAGCCTGGACTACAGAGTGAGTTCCAGGACAGACAAGATTGTTACAATGAGAAACCCTGTCTCAACACCCCCCCCCACAAATTCCATGTGTGTGAACATGAGTACCCTCCCTGTGGAGGCCAGAAATGACGTTGGAGGAGCAGGGTTACCAGCAGTTTTGAGGTGTTCTTGGTGCATGTTGCCAGCTGAACTCTAGTCCTCTGCAAGAGCCTCCCCAGCCTCTCAGTACTGACTTTGAAGTTCAGTTTATATTAGGGCATGATATTTCCTATGGCTATATGTCCAATGCCTGCCTGTCAGCTACGCTCCTTCCTCAGCCTCCTAGTGTAGCTCAATGGCTGGGAGGGAACAGCTGTCCTGTTCCCACACCTAGGTCCGTATATGGGGGGCCGGAGGGCCAGAACCGCCGGCTGCTGCCCGACGTTCCCAACGCCCTTCATGTCTTGGACGGTCCGGAAAAACGGTATTTTCTGGGCTTGGTGGATGTGACCACTATCTTTGGGTTTCGAAAACGGATGGAGCAGCTGTGGAAGACAATAAGACATCCAGGCCAGTCTTTCTCCACAGTCAGCCCGGATCACTATGCCCCGTCGAATGATCCAGTGGGTGGAAACCCACACCAAGTGACTAGAACCGGTCTCTAAGCAGCTGGGGACGAAGATACACAATTCTCCACCGTCTGCCCAGCTGGCTACACCCGGCCCATGTATCAGTGGGTGGAAACCCACACCAAATGACTCAAACCCATCCGAGTTGTCGGCTAGACATTTCCAGCAGAACCATCCTGCAGTTCCCCCTGTTAGCCACAGGAGGGTAGCATCCCCTAATGCTGTAACTACTCAGCTCCTTTCTGTGATGGGGCAGTGCTGTTTAAAGCAAGGATTTCCTCTTCCCTTCTGCTCCTCCCCTTAGCGCATTTACTATTAAAAATCTTTTTCTCCTGCTCCTCCCCTTAGCTCATTTACTATTAAAAACTGTTCTCTTTCATTTTTTTTTAAGATTTACGTACTTATTACATATACAGTGTTCTGTCTACACGCCAGAAGAGGGCACCAGATTGAATTGCAGATGGTTGTGAGCCACCATGTGGTTGCTGGGAATTGAACTCAGGACCTCTGGAAGAGCAGCCAGTGCTCTTAACCTCTGAGCCATCTCTCCAGGCCCGATTGTTCTCTTTTAACAGGCCTCCAAATGGAGGCTCACAGGATGAAGGGGTTGAGAGAGACCATTCAGCAATGAATGCTGGAACCCGCCTGCGCCTCACAGGTGGTCAGGAGGAAAGGGCCTTAACTTCTGGGACCTGAAGGGTCACATGTGTCCCTTGTTGGGTCCCAGGTCGGGGGCACAGTGAAGGACCTAGAACTGGGGAGAAAAGAAGCATCTGTGATGGATGAATGTAATAGAGTGCAGGAGAGCCCGGAGTAAAGGGAGGTCAGGTGTTTACTGGAGACAATTAAGGTAGAAAATTGCCAGGGTCTTCTGCCCAGAGGTGCTGTGATCTCATCTGCCACCACCACCAAGAGAGCGAGAACATGTTCCTGCTCATCCTCATCTGTTCACATGTAGAACCCGAGACCACACCTTAATGTGTCAGTACCCCAAAGGCTATTGGATGAACGAGTTCCCACAACAATTCCCCTTTTTATCTAAATGAGAGGGTTATAAACCTCATAGGAAACTATATACAATAAGAGCAAATACCAAGTATTGTCCAGGAGAGAGAGAGAAACACATACTAAACGCTCAGGCTGTAGGTAATTGGCAAATAACAGAGATAATTCCAACAGCTGTCCTATCCCGAGGAGTCTAAGTCTTGTACCTGAAATGTCTTAGCTAAGATGTGCCAGTATAGTAACCATGACCATCTAGTCTTCCACCCCATCAAAGACCTGAGAAGGAAGATAATATTACCTGAGTAAGCAGGGAGTGTACACAGGAGAATTCCAAAAGGTTCAAGAAATGACAAACAGCTGGTTACTTGGACAGTCACACAAGGTCTCACAGAAACGTTTTGGGCAACCAACTTTGGCTAAGGCCTAGAATATCTGACAGACCATATTTAGAAGTAGTAAGAGTCGAAAGACTGTCTTATCCTGTCTTGGCAAGGTTTAGCAGTCGCTTAACTTGTACCCTGCTTGTCCGTTTGGACAGCGTGTCTACTGTCATCAAGAAGTAGCATTGTGGGGGCTGGGGGGGCGAGGGATACCCCCAGGACTGGCCAGCCAGGACCCTGGAAATGCCTCTCAATAACTTCTGCTGGCCCATCGGATATGGCCAGACTTTGAAAAGCGACTGGTGAGGTAGGGCAGGGAGGGGAGAGAAAAGAGGCTGGCCTCGGCGGAACATTCCAGGAATCGGCACTTTTCAAACAGACACATGGCCTGCTGTGGGTGTTCTTGGACGTTCGCTCTATGCTGCTGCAGCTGCAGAGATTCCTGCTTGGTTGGCAGGAAGCTGAGAAATAGAGTTCTGCTTCTGCTGCCACCCAGAGGTGTCCAGCCAGGGGTGTAGGAATGTAGCAGGTGCAGAATCAGAACTGGGACCTGCTGGGGTCTGGCTCCCATGCGATTGACCTTGAGTCCCGTACAAAAGGCAACGGATGATCCCCCCCCTCTGGCGGGGAACCTTGGCAGGGCCTGAGGCCGTGAGGGAAGTGACCTCAGAGACCCAGGACTGCTGGCTTCTGCTTTGTCTTGTATGTGTCAGGACCATGTGGGTGTTGCAGGTGACTGAGAACTCATACGGAGGAGACGAGTCTAACAGTACGTGGGCGTGAGAACAGAGGAACTGGTTCACAGAGTGACTGCCCGGTGCCCAGCTGGGGGTGTGGCTAATGCCTGTAACTCCAGCATGTGCATTTGTGGAGCTGAGCAGGGTCCCAGGCTAGCCTGGAGTGTGCTGGTGGGTTTTCAAATCAACACAGAGGAGGGTCAGTTGAGGAACTGTCTCCATCATTGACCTATAGGCATGTCTTTGGGGGTCTTCCTTCCTGTCTTCTTTTTTTACTTTATTTTTTATTAATGATTGATGTGGGAAGGTCTCATCCTACTGTGGGCATTGCCTCCCCCTGGGCAGATGGTCCTTAGTGGTATAAGAAAAGTGGTTGGGTCGCTGGGTAGTGGTGTTGGTGGCACACTCTGATCCCAGCACTCAGGAGGCAGAGGCAGGCGGATCTCTGTGAGTTCAAGCAGAGTGAACGTGAGCCTGAGGAGAAGACCAGCGGGCAGCTCCCCTCCATGGCCTCTGCCTCAGCTCCTGCCTCCAGGTTCCTGCCTCAAGCCCCTGCCCTGACTTCCCCCAGCAATGCGCTGCGATGTGGGAAGTGTGAGCAGAAATAAACCTTTCCCCCATGGTTGCTTTTTGGTCATGGTGTTTGTCACAGCAACAGGAAGCAGACAGGGACAGCTACATAGAAAGGCCCTGCCTGAGATAATAAAATAACTCGGGGTGTGCTGCTGGGGAGGGCGGTTGTGAGTTGAGGTTTCAGCTGAGTGGCAAGGAGCCCCAGTAGGCAGGTGCCTGGAGCAGTCCAGGGAGAGCAGTGCAGCAAGTCATGCCCCTGAGGTAGGAGTGAGCCGGGTGTGTTAGCTCAGAAGCGGCACCATTCTCATCCTTCTCACCCCCAGGGGCCCAGGGGCCAGCGAGAGGACAGCCACAAACAAGCCAAAAGTGCCTCTCTGGGACCACAGAATTTTCTGGTAGTGCCCCGAGCCACCTCTGCCCTTTCTCACTAGGAGAGGGTTATTTTTCCCACTTTACAGAGCGGGAGAAAACGGCTCGGGCAAAGGCTGCATTGACCTAACACAGAGCAGCTATACTGAAAACAGCCGGAGCCATTAACCCAGCGCTCCACCAGCTGCTTCAGCGAGCAGAGCCAGCCTCATCCTGGTAAATCGAGGCCTTTCTGAAATACATGGGACTCTGTCTCAAAAACGAAAACATGTTTCATCATTGCCTGTCTGAATAAGCTGACCTGCTTAACTCTTGCTTCATTTCCTGCCCCCCTGCCACTTCCCCGGCAATTTCAGAAATGGAGAACCTCAAGTCTCCCCGGCCAGGCAGCCATTGCATGGTGGCTCGGATCCGGAGATCTTCTCCTCTTTCTTCCATGGCCTTGGCACACACCGAGTAGGGTGCGACGCCCCAGACGTCAAGACCTCGCCCCCTCCCCAACTCAGAGAGATCTCAGACACTGCCACGCAGGCCCGCCCCCGATGCGTAGACCCCGCCCCCTGTGCGCAAAGACTCCGCCCCTCCGGCAGGCCCCGCCCCTGGCCCCGGGCTGCGCTGCTCCAGCTCCCATCCTGCAGAACCGCAGCACCGCCTCCCCCGCCCCCCCCCGGGGCCGGTTCCAGGCCCTCTGGCCGGGCCCAGCAGACATGGAGCTCCGAGAAGAGCATCGTGAGCCCCCGGCGCGTCCCAACCCACCCGTCTGGTTAGCGCCCAGCTTGGGGAGGGGACGGTGGAATCGAGCAGAGTGAAAACCTCACATCCTGCCCGCCCCAGGCCTCTCCATCGCCCCACGGTAGAGAGGTGGGAGGGATGGGTGGGAAGAAATCCCTGCTCCCGACTTTCTTTGCCTTCCTTTAACCAACTGGGTGACCTTGAGCCGAAGCGCCTCCTCTCTGTCCTTCCCCATCTGCACAATGGGGATTGGTTTGGCAGGGTCTCTGGACACACACATCTTTTAGAATGGGCACGTTGTGGCATGCTTGGAGACTTTAAGGCTGTTGGTTCCTGGGCCCATTTGCCTTGACCTGGATCTACCCTCTTCCCTTGCCTCAGTTTCCCTCATATCATAGGACCAGCTTCCAGTCTTTCCCATCCCAAGCTCTGGAGACAGCAGCCTCCGGACTGCTGAGGGCACGGACAGCATGAAGGCCCCGGTAAGTGACATGGAAGAAAGAAAGCTCACTGGGGACTTGGGGGCAGGCTGAGCAGAGCTTCTCAGCCACCTTCCCATGCCAGGAGTTATAGTGGTTCCCCTCCCCCCTCACACTTCTTTTGGTGTTGGGGACAGAACTCAGAGCCAAGCACACGCTAAGCACATGCCCTAAGGCAGGGTCCCACCCACAGCCCCTGTGCCACCTCCCTGCTCTAGAGGCTGCGCAACCCCAGGCTACTGACTTCCCTTTTCGGTTTTGCTTTGCTCTGGTCACCTTGAAATGAAAGTAACAGTAAGGTACGGTGTCACTCGGTTGATGGTGTGAGCCGGTGTGAAGGTTTGGGGCAGCCGAACCTTGTTCACTGTCGAGCCCCTTGAATGTTGGGGCAGGCAGATTAAATTACTGCCTGAGTCAGGGGGTCTGCTCCCTTGTGGGCAGGGGACCAGTTGCTGTGCAGAGCCTGGGGCCTCAGGGGCTGTGAACCCTTTCTCCTGGACAGCTGGCCATACAAGATTTATTTTTAGAAGCTGATGTGGCTTGTGAACAGACAAGGAAGGGTGGGCCCCTGGCAGGATGTGCCAGGGGCTGTTCTGCACCTCTTGTTTTCTGGGCATGCTGGCCAGCAATGAGGGTTTCCTCTGGAATGGCCTTGGGCCTAGAAAATTGGCGCTCCGAGAGTCACAGGTATCGAGATGGATGTCCCAGCAGATGGTGACCTGGGGCGTGGCTCCTCCAGAGCTTGCTGGGCACTGTGAGAGAGTGTGGGGTGAGAGGGTCAGAGGGTCTCCTCCAGTGACCATTGGCATCATTTCTAGACGTGGGAGTGACTGAGCAGAAGCATCCCAACTATTGAAGGCGTCTTCTGTTTGCTTGTCTGTCTGTCTTCCGGTTTTGAAACAGGGGCTCAGTCTGTAGCCCAGGCTGGCCTGGAACTCACTGTGTAGCCCAGGTTGGCCTCAAACTTGTAACAATCCTGCCTCAGGCAAGGGATGAGCTGTCATGCCTGGAGGCATCTATGTAGACTGTCTCACTTACACAATGGGTGGTTGTGAGGCATCCTACGTGGGTTCTCGGGACCCGGTGCAGGTGCAAAAGAAGCTGTTGTCCCCACTGAGCCTTCTTTCCACCCAGATCCTAGCCAAGGTGACACACTGGAGCAGCTGGGGACAGGGTGGTGGAGGTGGGACCGCGGAGGCAGCACTGGCCTGGGCTGAAGGCCATTGAGATCGAGACCCCAGACTGCAGAGTGTGTGTGGGTGCTGGGTGAGAATTTGAGTTTAAGACCCAAGCCTGTATCCCGAACCCTTGCTGTGTGGCCTTGAGAAGTATATGGGCTTCACCCCAAGTGGGTGTCCAGACCTGGAAGAGGGGATTTGGGGAGATATCTGTAGTTTCAAGGACCAAGAGCTAGGTGTCCCCGAGAAGGCCTTATCGATGGAGATTGAATTCTACAGAAGAGGTCCTACAGGGGGGGACTGGGTGTTGCACACACGCACCCCACAGGCCCGTCACCGCCTTCTCCTTCAGGGTCGCCTTCTCCTCCTCTCCTTGTGCGCCTTGACCCTGTCCGCCGTCTACATCTGCCTGTGCTGTTGGGCCTGCATGCCCCTCTGCCTGGCTACCTGCCTGGACCCCCACCTCCCTTTGGCACCCAGACCCACAGAGCCCGGGCCCCTGCACTTCAGCGGCTACAGCAGCGTGCCAGATGGGAAGGTGAGTCAGCCAGGAAATGCAAAGGTGACCAGAGTGTCCCTAGCTCTAGGAAGCAACGAGACCTGGGCTGGTGGCTAGAGTCTGAGCTTGGCTTCTCTGCTCACCAGCTCTGTGCCTTTTGCTGGTCTCTGCACCTCTCTGAGCTCTCAAGGTGTAGGAGGAAATAGGGTTTGCACTGAGCAAATGCCAGCCGGCCCCTCTCTGCTGCGTGCCTGGATGAAAGGGGGGCTGACCGCTCGTGCCTGCCACGGCCTGTCTGTGTATTCTGTGTATCTTTAGATTTGTGTGTCTCCACTCTGTATGCTCAACAAACAGGGCTTGTCTCCTGCGGTGTCTGGCATTGCGTGGCAGCTGAGGATAGAGGGCCAACGTAGGTCGAGGTTATGTATGATCCCAGGACTCAGGAGATGAGTGACAAGACAGCCATGGCTCCTGTCCCCATGGTTGCTCTGCCTGGTGTGGCAAGCGGGCATTCTCACCCTTGACCCTGGCATCAGTGGCTCTATACCTCTGGGTCATGGTTCACATTTAGCAGCTCCCTATGTCACCATGTCTAGTTCTTGGCACTAAAATTCTGGTTCTTAGTTTGGTGGCTCTTAGTCAGCCTTACGGGCATGCTCTGGCTTGCTGGAGACACGTGGGCCCTCATGCCTTTGAGTCTCAGCCACCTCCTCATCTATACAGGACCCCCTATGTTGGCTGCTTCCAGGATTCAAGAGTGACTGGTAGACAGTGCCCAGCAAAGCTGCCATGTGACTATTTGATGAAGAAATGAAAATTCCTGTGCTGGGCTGGGGCTGGGGCTGGGGCTCAGTCTAGCGTGTCGTTTGTGAGCGAGGATAGGTGTTAGGTTCAATTCCTAGGACCAAAAACCAAAGGAAAGCAAAGCAAAAACTCCTGGGGGTGTGAACTCTTCACTCCCTGAGAATGGCCAGGTTGGGGGCCAGAGGGGTGGCTCAGTGGTTAAGAGCACTGGCTGCTCTTTCACAGGATCCGGGTTCAATTCCCAGCACCCACATGGCAGCTCACAACTGTCTGTAACTCCAGTTCCAGGGGATCTGACACCCTCACACCAATGCAGATATAAAATAAACTAAAAAGAAAAAAAAAAAGAATGGCCAGGTGGACCATATACCCTTCCACTCCCCCCACCCCCGCTCCTGCAGGGTCTGGAGACTGAACTTATTTCATCACTGAATGCTCTCCTCTGCTGCATTGGTTTTCCCTAAGTGGGAAACCCAGACATTGAGTGTCAACGGGGACACTTTCACGCTTGTAAGAGTGAGGATACTCCATGGGGCAGATGGTGGCTAGGATCAGAATGGACGTCTCCCCCTCGCCCAGACAGCCTCAGACTGACAGCACCATGAGGAAGTCTGGCTGTTGTTGTGTTGTTTTGTTTATTGTCCCCTCCCCCTTTTCAGGCAAGGGTCTCACATAGCCCTGGCTGGCCTGGAACCTGCTGTGTGGCAGGTATCTTTGAACTGGTCTTCTTGTCACAAGTGCTGGGATCATAGGCTTGCCCACCCTGCCTGGTTCAGAGCATTTTTTTTAAAACTGTGGTACAGAAAATATGAGTTCTTAAATCAACATTCTGTCAAATTAAAAAAAAACCGTACCTGAGGGGATTTCACAACGTCTTTTATTGAGTGGAATTAACGTCCCTGTATCTTTCTCAGCCTCTATAAGCTTGAGTTCCTGCAGGTGAGGGTCCAGCCTTTCCCTGGGAGCCCTGACACACTGGAGACTGTGGCCCTTCCTGAGCCTGTGGTCTATGTGGTGGCTCACGTCTGTCTTCCCAGCACTTGGTTCCATGTCAGTCTCTGTATAACAAGACCCCCATCTCAGAAGAGGCGGGGTAGGAGTTGGGAAATGGTTCAGTCGTAATGTGTGTGCCGTGCAAGTGTAAGGAGCAGAGTGTGGGACCCTCAGGACCCACAAAAAGCTAGGTCGGCATGGTAGCTTGCTGTAACCCCTTCTTTGGAGAGGCAGAGGTGGGACCCCCAGGGTAAGACAGACTTGCCAAAGGAGGGGTCTCAGCTTGTAGACACTGAGACCTGTCTTGATATAGGTGGCGGAGAATGACCAAAGAAGATACTATGTATCAAACTCGGGCTTCCACATGGGTGTGTGACCACACATGCAAGCACACATAAAAGGAAACCAATTAAATTGGCTTTATGGAACTGTATGATTTGTAAAAGAATTACTAATTATTCATATGCAGTTCAATAGAGCTTTTTGTTACAGAGTCTCACTATATAGCCCTGACTGGCCTGGAATTCGCTCTGCAGACCAGGCTGACCTCAAACTCACAGAGATCCAGCTGCTTCTGCCTCCCGAGTGCTGGGACTAAAGGTGTGCGCCACCACCAAGTGGACAGTGAGTTTTGACAGAAGTAGGAGAACATGGATAGCCCTTACCATCGTGACACGGAACTTTTCTGTCACTCCCAAAAGTCCCCTCATGCCCCCTTTGCAGCCATCTCTGGCTTTTAGAAGTGCTGGGGCAGGCCTGAAGCTTGGAGAGGCATTTGTCCACTCCACTGTGTTCTAGGCTGCTGATGTTGGCAGCCTGTCCCCAAGACCGTCCTGTGTCCCCCACTCCTTATGTCCTTGTGCTTTTTCAAGAGGACCCACCTCACAGATGAGAGGTACCCTGGGCCATAGAGCTAACGAGGGATGGAGCCAGGATTTAGGCTGGGAGCCAGACTGCCAAGCTGCCATGGAAGACACCCGCTACTGAAAACCCTCCTATTATAAACTGTGCCGTATGGGTTGGGCTTGGACAGGGCATGGAGGGGTCTAGGAGGGTTCTGAGGAGCTGAGGTTCATGTTTACTTAACAAACACTTGCATGACATTCACTCTGGGCCAGAGCCATTCTCGGTGCCTTATAATTATTTGCTCCTGTATCCTTAACGAGGTCCCAGTAACGTAGGTACCAGATGGCTATAGCTGATAAGGAAGCTTGGGGAAGTCATTTCACATGCCTAGCTTGCCAAGTAGGCAAACTTTGGTCTTTGGGGGCAAACATGGTGGTTGCCACCTATAATTCCAGCATTTGTGAAGTTGAAACAGGAGAAGGGCCACAAGTTCAAGACACACCTAAGCAACAAAGTGAGACTTTAATATCACAAATGAAAACTGGGACCAGCCAGGTGACCTAACGGGTGGAAGCACTCATTGCAAAGCCTGACAGTGGAACCCGAGAGATGGCTCAGAGGTTAGGAGCACTGGATTGAGGAAGAACCAAGTGTCAACCTCTGACCCCTCACCCCCCACCGGTGTGGGCAAGCACACCCACCCTGTGCACACACATGTGCACACACACACATTTTAAAAATGAACTGATCCAACTACCAGGCAGGTTAATAGGTAGGATGGGAGCAGGTGGGGCAGGTGGGTGGGTGTGATGGGGCAGGTGGGTGGGTGTGATGGGGCAGGTGGGTGGGTGTGATGGGGCAGGTGGGTGGGTGTGATGGGGCAGGTGGGTGGGTGTGATGGGGCAGGTGGGTGGGTGTGATGGGGCAGGTGGGTGGGTGTGATGGGGCAGGTGGGTGGGTGTGATGGGGCAGGTGGGTGGGTGTGATGGGGCAGGTGGGTGGGTGTGATGGGGCAGGTGGGTGGGTGTGATGGGGCAGGTGGGTGGCAGCTGGTGCTGAGGTTTTCTGATCTTTCTCTACTTTCCTCCACAGCCCCTTGTCCGGGAGCTCTGCCGCAGCTGTGCAGTGGTGTCCAGCTCTGGCCAGATGCTGGGTTCAGGCCTGGGTGCCCAGATCGATGGTGCTGAGTGTGTGCTACGCATGAACCAGGCGCCTACTCTGGGCTTTGAGGAGGACGTGGGCCAGCGCAGCACCTTGCGAGTGATCTCGCACACAAGTGTGCCACTGCTTCTGCGAAACTACTCACACTATTTCCAGCAGGCTCAAGACACGCTCTATGTGGTGTGGGGCCAGGGCAGGCACATGGACCGGATGCTGGGCGGCCGCACCTACCGCACATTGCTGCAGCTCACCAGAATGTACCCAGGCCTGCAGGTGTACACCTTCACTGAACGCATGATGGCCTACTGTGACCAGATCTTCCAGGAGGAGACTGGCAAGAACCGGTGAGCCTCTCTGTGCCAGGAGATGCCGTAAGATTGGAGGTGGCCTCTGGGGTCCGTTCCAGACAACTGAGTAAGAGTGGCTGTCAGAACAGCTACCCTCAGGCTAGGCGTGTGGCTCCGTTGGCAGGGTGCTTGCCTAGCAGGCATGAGGACCTGGGTTCAGTCCCCAGCACAGATTAAACTGACCCTTGCACCTCTGTGACCCCAGCACTCATGAGGTAGAGGCAGGACACTCAGGAGTTCAAGGGCATCCTCAGCTACATAGGGAGTTTGGTGGAGGTGAGCCTGGGCTACTTTAGGTAAATGAGCAAACAAAAAAAACCCCGACTGTTTTTAGGTCTCAGGTCCTGCGCTAAGCACCCTGCATTGTAAAGAGAGGCTTTTCCTCTGCCAGCCGCTTTGGTTTTACCCTGCCAGCCGCTTAGGCTCTGCCACATTGTAGCCCCCAAGTAACACACAAGACACTGTATTAACTATGAAGCTGTTGGCCTTGCTTGTTTCTTACTGGCTAGCTCTGACTTAAGTAATTACTCCATAATTGTTAATCTAAGTATTTCTCTTACCAGAGAAGTTTCTGGGCTTCCTACCCCATGGCGTTACATCTTGACTCTCTGTATTTCTCCTTCCCAGTATCCTCCTGGACTCCTAGTCCCACCTACCTTGCTTCCCTATTGGCCAACAGTGCTTTATTGACATCTACACAGGACTTCCCCCATCACTGCATCAGTCGCTTCTTTAATACCTCATCTGAAACAGCCCCCCAGGATTCCCCATGGCACCTCATCTATGTGCCTGTGTCCCAGCCCCCATCCTCAGATTCTCACACTTGTCTCCAGATGCAGTTCCTGGCACACACACTCTGTTCCTTCTGCCTAGAATATTCTAGAATTTTCCATGATTGTCACTGTCTGGTCTAGGTGAGGAAAGCCCCCTGGGCCGCGCCCCCCCCGTGAAGGGGTGCCCTATGCCCGCTCACCCTCATGTTCTGTATCCACTCCTCTTTCCCAGTCTTTTCAGCGGCTGTCAGGTTCTAATATCGCTTTGTTTATGTGTTAGCAGCAGGTGGGGCAGGTGCTGTCTGTGCTCAGCTCGAATAGGGGAGCCAGCCTGCACTCTCAGAGTGGGTAGCCCTCTGTTTGCAGAGTACCCAGCCACCTTAGGCCTGGGGCCGCCACAGCACCTTGACCCAGGTGGAATGGGGGGAAGGTGTGGACACGGCTCTTCAAAGCCACCTGGAAGTCTTCCCCGTTGCACAGTTGGGTACGGAGGCTCAGGAGTGAGCCGGGGCCTTACAGCGGAGGCAGGGCTCTCGAACAGACTGCCGCTGTGCTCTCCTGCACGAGGGTCTCCCCAGGTCCTGGCGGCATCATCAGCCTGGGTGGCAAGACTGGTCAGAGTTGGGTTAGTGAGCAGCCCCTGGATCACCACTGACCTCAGGCTGGCTCACTGCCTCCTGCCCATCCTCCCCAGAACCCCTTTGTAGCCGTCAGGTGGGGAGTGGGGATGTCAGGAGGGGCCATTGACAGTGTCCCCTCCTCCCCAGGAGGCAGTCAGGCTCCTTCCTCAGCACTGGTTGGTTCACCATGATCCTGGCCCTGGAGCTGTGTGAGGAGATCGTGGTCTACGGGATGGTCAGTGACAGCTATTGCAGGTCAGACTGGCACCCAAGCTGGGGGGAGGGGTAGGAGGGGAGGGCGTGAGGCCTTGAGCCAGAGGGTCTGTGAGCCATGAGGGCTTCATGGTGTGTGCCCCAGGCAAAGTGCAGGCCGTTGGGGAAAAAAATGTAACCTCTGGCTGGGCATAGTGATCCAGCCCACTTAGGAGGTGGAGGCAGGAGAATCCGGATCAGAGCCAGCCTTGGCACCACATCAGGTTCAAGGCTAGCCCTTTTTTTTTTGAGAGCCTCCCAAAAGTCTCAAATGAAAACAGAGACTTGCCGGGCGTTGGTGGTGCACGCCATTAATCCCAGCACTCGGGAGGCAGAGGCAGGAGGATCTCTGTGAGTTCGAGACCAGCCTGGTCTACAAGAGCTAGTTCCAGGACAACCTCCAAAGCCACAGAGAAACCCCGTCTCGAAAAACCAAAAAAAAAGAAAAAAAAGAAAAAAAAAGAAAAAAGAAAACAGAGACTTGTACTCTTCTCAGAAGGTTGGTGAGTCATCAGAGCAGGTGAGTCCGTCTAACCTTTGACACCGCGGCTTGACACGCCTGCAGGGTTCACACTTAAGAACCGTGGCATCACCGGTGCTGGTGGCGGTGGTGGCCCACACCTTTTACCGTCACACTCGAGGCAGAGGCAGGCAGGTCTGTGAGTTCAAGGCCAGCCTGATCTACAGGGTGAGCTCCAGGACAGCCAGGGCTACACAGAGAAACCCTGTCTCGAAAGACAAAAGGAAAAAAGGAAGAAGTGTGCCATCAAGTTACCAAAAGAGGGCCTGGAGGGAGAGCTGGGTGGGCTCAGGCACTGGCCGCCAGGCCTGACAGCCTGAGTCCAGTCCCCAGGACCCACACGGTGAAAAGAGAGAACCAACTCTTTTTTTTTTAAAGATTTATTTATTTATTTATTTATTTATTACATATACAGTGTTCTGCCTACATGCCAGAAGAGGGTACCAGATTGAATTGTAGATGGTTGTGAGCCATCATGTGGTTGCTGGGAATTGAACTCAGGACCCCTGGAAGAGCAGGCAGTGCTCTTAACCTCTGAGCCATCTCTCCAGCCCCCGAGAACCAACTCATAATGCGTCTTCTCACCTCCGCGTGTACACCGTAGCAGGCTCTTGCCCACCCACCACACACAAACAAATGAATGCAAAAAAAATTTAAGTTGCCAAAAAGATTTGGCAAAATGGGCCTGGGGTTGGCCCTTCCTGATGGAATAATATTTAAAAGTGTTTTCTACCCCCTCTTGAAGCCTATATCTACTTTTTAAGATTATATATATATATATATATATAATCAGTGCTCTACTACTGATTTTAAGAGGCATCAGATCCCATGACAGATGGTTGTGAGCCACCATGTGGGTGCTGGGAATTGAACTCAGGTCCTCTGGAAGAGCAGCCAGTGCTCTTAACCACTAAGCTATCTTTTGAGACCTAGCTATTTTAATAAAACAACACCAGATATATTTAGTTATGGTATTACTTAAATACTGTGAGTTCAGTGTGGGAATGGAATTGTATGACCTTAATATATTTCAATATTACTGTAACTAAGAGGTTTGGAAAAGGTCACAGGTTTTCACTCTTTCCTTCAGAGCCTGTGTCTTGGGCATATGAGACAGTAAGAGCAGGGCCCCTGCCATGGCTGGCCCTCAAAGTGCCTCTGACAGCTGTGGACATGGGAGTTGGGCACCTGTCTTAGAGAGTCCTCCCTTTGAGTGACTTGCTCTCCCTGGAGCTGAGCGCCTCGCTGCAGGAGGTGCTTCTCTAACCCAGAGTCACCCAGCCTGCAAGAGGCAGTTTCTGAACCCTGGCCACTGGGCTCCACACCTGCCAACCTCCTGCCGTCTGTCCAGATGTGGGTGCCCCTGGGCCTTAGCGGCTGAGGCGAAGTCCTGGAGGCGGGGGGCTCTGAGGTCCTGTGTCTGTCCCACCTGACCCTGTCCCCTCCCAACAGTGAGAAGAGCCCCCCCTCCGTGCCTTACCACTACTTCGAGAAGGGCCGGCTGGACGAGTGTCAGATGTACCTTTTGCATGAGCAGGCACCACGGAGCGCCCATCGCTTCATTACTGAGAAGGCCGTGTTCTCCCGCTGGGCCAAGAAAAGGCCCATCGTGTTCGCCCACCCATCCTGGAGGGCCAAGTAGTTCCTGCTGCCGGGCCTGCAACTCATTCCAAGCCACCACACTCCACCATGACATGTTTTATGACTCTCACCTTCTGCCTGATTCCAGGTGGTACCTGAGATCTCTGTTACCCCACACAGGGTACATTTGGAGAAATCTCGGGCCTTGTGACTTGAAGGGGAGTGAAGAGGGCGTGTTTATACCACCCCTGCCCCCTGGCAAATCCACATCTTCGTCTTGGGGTTCCATCCCACCTCCAAGTTGTTCAAGTGGCCTTTGCCCTGGGGCCAGCGGCCCCCTCACCAGCATCGAGACGTTGCGCCAGTGTTGTCGTTTCCTCTACCTACCCTAGCCACAGGGTGCCACATTCTCGGGCTGGCGGCCCTGGTTGGTGCATCCTGGAACCTAGGATTTGATGGGCACAAGGGCCTTTGAGCATCTGCCTCCCAGGACTGTCTCAGGAGCGCGCCAGTAAACGTGCATTTTCTGGACACTGTTTCTAGTATGGTAACAGATGTGGGATGGGGGTTAGGACACAGGCCTGCAGCCTGTTCGCCAGAGGGCAGACGTCCCTCCAGCCCTTCCCAAGGTCCATGGTGGTCTGCTCTTCCTGCCCCCACACCTCCTGGCCAGATCTGACCACAAGACTATGCTGGCCCAGGAAAGCTTCCAGTCCTCAGCGGGCACAGAACTCAATGTTGCTTTCCCGTCCCGCCGTGGGTCAGATTCTGAAACCTTTGCCAGTCAAACTGCCTGTTAGCTCTGGGACAGAGAGGCAGAGTGCAGCTCCAAGCCGGTGCTGTGTGGAAGGCCATGGTCTCAGGGCCAGCCCTTTCTCTGAACTCTGCACAGCCACCACCCTGCTGCTAATGAGGGCGTGACGCAGGGAGCAGGTGCTAGTTACCGATGCAGTAGCCCAGGCTAGCTTTGGTGAGGCCTGAGAGCTCACTACCTCTGCCTCCTTCCCCCTTTGGACAACTGAGAAATGGACCCCTAGGATTTAGCTCTTGGCTCCAGAGCTCAAGACCTCCTGGGTATGACCTGTGTAGTCCCCAGAGTCCTGTGCTTCCTTTAATCTCTCCTGCTACAAACTTGAAACTCTTTGAATGTTAAGTTTTGGTTTTTAACAAGGAACCTCTCACTTAGCTGTTGTGCTGTATCCCAAAAGTGACAGAGCCCGTCATGCTGAGGACTCTGGTGGCCTAGCCCTCTCTCCCTCCTACTCATTTTCTCAGGCGTGGCTGGAGACCTGGTGCCTGGCCCACAGCACGGCCCTTGTCCCCTGCGTGTCCTGTGCCAAGTGGCCCGGAAGCCTCTTAAGTGGGAGGAGAGGAAAGGGAGAGAGCTCCGAGCCAGGCTTGCAGGCTGGACGCCAAACCACTTCCGCAGGCCTGGCGGGGCTGAGGGGCTGTGGGTAGGAATAGGCAGGGGTAAGGGGGGTGAAATGGAGAGCCTGGCTCCACAGCTCCATTCTCTGATCTGTGGCTCTGGTTAGTTAGAGCCTTTTTGGGTTCAGTTTCACCATCTATAAAGGTGATCAAGTAGTTCCTACCTCACAAGGTTGCATGAGCTCAGAGATGCTGGGCTGCCCCTGGGTCTTAGAGCACACTTGGCACTTGGTGTGTGTGAAAGCCACCGTTTAAATGGGATGGCCTTCCCTCTGGGTGGTCCTGCCTCACCCTGGTATAGGTAGTGTCGATGCAAAAATCACAGTTCCTGTCTTAATGGGAATAGTCAGTTCTGGAGCCATTTTGAGGATCTGTAGCCCAGGACACAGATTAAGTTACCCCAAATTCCATGTTCCAATGTGGCAATACTTTCATAAGTTTTTGTTGTTGTTGTTGTTGTTGTTTGTCTTTTTTTTTTGTTTTTGTTTTTGTTTTTGTTTTTCAAGACATGGTTTCTCTGTGTCGTTTTGGAGGCTGTCCTGGAACTCGCTCTGTAGACCAGGCTGGCCTCTAACTCACAGAGATCTGCCTGCCTCTGCCTCCCGAGTGTTGGGACTAAAGGCATGTGCCACCAACACCCGGCCTAGTTTCATAAGTTTTATAATTTCACAGTATGAAGAAAGTCATAAATCAACATTGGTTTCATGTATCGGAGAGGCAGTCACGGCAAGATGGACGCGCTCCTTTAGGCCTGCGATGTTATGATGGCCTTCTTGGCTTTTGAGTAGATAGTGTTCTGCTAAGTTAATAGCTTTCCAAGGTTTTTTTTTTTTTTTTTTTTTTTTTTTATGAGACAGGGTTTCTCTGCATTGCTTTGGAGGCTGTTGGTCCAGCCCGGCCTCGAACTCACAGAGATCCGCCTGCCTCTGCCTCCCGAGTGTAAGGTTTTTATCTATTAGTTAGAGAATGTTCTGACAAAGACAGGCAAGGAATGGCTGTTTGAAGCTAAAGCTAGCCCAAGATACAGCGATTCCTGGCCTCTGGGCCATCTCCTTATGCTGAGGCTTCTTCCGGGTTCTCATCCACAGCGGGTATCTGGCTTTCCACCCCATTTGAAGTCATCCAACCCATGCCCTCTCCCTGGGTGTTCAGAACCAAGAGACACCCCCGGCTCCCCTCCCGATGGGATTTAGGTTGTATTCCTTCCCGAGAGTCAGTCTTCTTGTTTCTAGCCACCAGGAAATGCTGGCCCAACCCTTGGGTCCAGCACACAGAAGTGTTTTTGTCCTGACCCTGCCTCTGGGTGAGGTGTTTACTGCTGGGCTGGCCCAAATGAGTGTGTTTCTTGGGAAACTGTCAGCTAATTCCTCCAGGCACAGGAAGAGATCCTCTGACGGGTCTGGCTGGCACAGGGTCTACTGACGGCTTACTGTGATGGGATCGAGGAGCTCCCTCCTTGGCTGCTGTGGGCCTGGTACCTGCTGGAAGGTGAGTAGGAACAGGGACCTCGTAAACCCTCGAGGTTTTGTGGGGGTCACTCAGGCCTACGCACTCTGAGCTCATGTGTTCCTGTGTCTCCTCTGGTTCCTTTATCTCAGCAAACTCACTGGGGACCCACGAACTTCCATGTAAGCCCAGAAAGGAAGCAAGGTGGGTCCCACAACCTGCCCCCTCCCGTGTCTTAGAGCTCTTTCTTCAAGGATCTCTGGCTGGGGTGTGAGTTTCTCTGCAGTGTCTATTCTGGGGAGGGAAGGAACCCCATGCTTACTGGGGACAATTGGGTACCTCTGTCCGGTCCCTGCCTATGGAGACCTGGGTACCCAGCACCGGGATCAGAGCTCTGCCTCAGTCTCCAGCCCCTCGCTTAGAGGTTGAAGGTTGGAGTCCCCAGGCCTAGCTTCTAGCCGAGCTGAGCGCGGATCTGAGGTGGTAGGTGAAGAAAAGACTCCAAAAACATCCTAAAAACACAAAGAAGTTTGCTAAAGGAGGATTAAGGTGTAGCTTAGTGGTAGGGTGGTAGCTAGCTAGGTACACAGGGATTCCAATCCAACAGCGGTGGTCGGGGGAACCATCTGGTAAAGTGTCGGAAGTGCAGGTATCTGGCTGTCACACATGTGCCTTCCCTGGGGAGAAAGAACTAAAACTGACTGAGCTTCTCCAGAGACGAGGCAGGACTGGACAAGGCCCCAGTTCACGAGCCTCTGTTGTGACTTGGCCCATTCAGTTTTCCCAGGCTTGGGGCCTGTGTGTCCAGCAGCCCAGTGGGTATTAAATAGACAGGACTGGATGACTGTCACCTGTTGGTCACCTCCACATTCCCCAAGCTGGGGCTTGTCACCCCCACGTTCCCACCTTCTGGAAAGTGGGCTCCTAGTCGCTCCCCTGTAGCAGGTTCTTTAGCGACTCGGTGAGGAGTTGCTTGGAGAGGGCTTGACGCAGAGACGGCATCCCAACAGGACTTGTGACTTCTCATCCCCCTGCCACCCTCGTTCCTCCTCCTTTCCTCCTTCTGGGACAGGGTTTCCCAGTGTAGCCCTTGCTGTCCTAGAACTAGCTCTGTAGACCAGGCTGGCCTCAAATTCAGATCCCCCTGCCTCTGTCTCCCCAGCGCTAGCATTTAAGGTGTGTGCTAACTCTTTTTTATTTTAAAGATTTTTATTTATTATGTATACAGCATTCTGTCTGCATGTGTGTCTGCAGACCAGAAGGGGGCACCAGATCTCATTACCATATGGTTGCTGGGAATTGAACTCAGGACCTCTGGAAGAGCAGTCAGTGCTCTTAACCGCTGAGCCATCTCTCCAGCCCATGTGCTAACTCTTAATCACACTATTAGTACCCCAAGGGGGGATGTTGTTGTTCGTGGGACCCAGGAAAGGAAGACAGCCCTCCTGGAATGAGTCCAGAAATCTGATGGGCTTGAGTTGGGTTCCCTGGCTGTGCTTTGGTCTGGGTCTGGGCTTAAGCATCCTTACATTTTCAGAGTCCCTAGCAGGGCTTAGAAGTTTATAAAGTTAAACTCCCCCTCATACCAACCTTTAGGGCAGAGGTTCTCAACCTGTGGGTCAAGAGAGCCCTTTGGGAGTTGAACGGTCCCTTCATAGGGGACCACAGATATTTACATTATGATTCAGAACAGTAGCAAAATTACAGTTATGAGGTAGAGAAAATAATTTTATGGTTGGGGTCAGCACAACATGAGAACCTGTACTAAAGGGTCCCAGGGTTAGAAAGGCTGAGGACCACTGAGCGGGAGGAGGGGGGAAGTTACTGCTGGGGGTGGTTCCTTGTGGATTCGGTCCCACACCTTTGTGTACACTTACAAACATGGTGATTGTATTAAAGAGTGCGGTAACAGAGAGAAAAGGAAGGGAGTTTGGGGAGACAGCTCACGTGGAAAGTACTGTGTAGAGCAAGCCGGAGGACTTAGTTCTCACAATCCACTCAAAAATCCCAGCTGTTGAGGTCGTTGTTAGCAAAAAGGAAGGAGGCAGAGAGAGCTGGATCCCTGAGGCTCTCTGGTCAGCCTGGGTAACCAGTCTGGGGTAACCAGTGAGCCCCACATCCTACTAAGAGTCCTTGTGCCTGTCTTTCTTATGCACCAACAGGAAGACCTGTGCAGAGCAGAGGAGGTCCCCTGCCTGGGTCTGGCCTGTATCAGTCCTAGACTGTAAGAGTCATCTATTTTGGACTGATGTCTTTAGGGCTGTGTTTGGAACCAGCCGAACAGCCCCGGGCCAGACCCTGAGTCGGGGAGTGTGGATCAGGGAAGTCTTAGCTACCCAGCGGTGTTAAGGACAAGACAGGGACATCTTGTCATTTCAGCAGGGCTCTCAGTCCATACTGGAGATGCTGGTTTATTCAAGCACCCTCTTAAATGGCTTTCTAAAAGTAGGGGTACTGGCAGAAGACATCTATTATTATGTGTATAGAGCTGGCTAGGAAACTCTTTAGCCCTAGACATGGTCCTAGAATGCACATACACAAGCCCTCAGACATTTTGCAATGACACATTTCACCAGTCCTCAGACACATCCCACTAGTCCCCAGACATGTCCCACTAGCCCTCAGGATGGGTTTAAGGCCTAGATCTATTGTTACACAAACTGGAACCCATTTTCCACTGTGGCCATGCCATCCGGAGGTAACCAGCTGACATCTAAAAGATAATAGGAAGCCGGGTGTTGGTGGTGCACACCTTTAATCCCAGCACTAGGGAGGCAGAGGCAGGCGGATCTCTGTGAGTTCGAGGCCATCCTGGTCTACAAAGTGAGTTCCAGGAGAGAGCCTCCAAAACAATACAGAGAAACCCTGTCTCGAAAAAAAAACCAAAAATAAAAAAAATAAAAAATAAAAAATAAAAATAAATAAAAGATAATAGGAGATTTGAGCTCCTGGAATTGAGCTGAGGCCTATACCCAAAATACCATATTCGGGCCCCCAACAATTCCTCCCTCTTAAATTAATAAAATAATACCTGTGTTTCTGTAACAGAATAGATGACTGTGCCTGTTTTAGGCAGCTTTTTTTTTTAACCTACCAGAGGTTACCCGTCATCGAATCACGCATTCCGTCATGTGTGTTTTGTCTTAGGCTCCCTGGAGGCAAGAAAGACATTTCCCATCTCTGGCTAAACCAACATCTGTAACTTGGAACATTAGGGGTGATGGGGCATGGTTTGATGCCACAAGCCCCTAAGCCAGTTATTCAACGGGAACTCACTGGGAAGCTTGACGAGTCAAGCAACCTCTATGTTGTCACGGCTGCAAAAGATCTGCAAAAAGGAGGGGAGAGCCGAGTTAAGATGGCCTTTTCAAACTGGTGTGGGAATGTCTTGAGTTGTCTCTTGTTACGTTAAAGTCTGAAACTGTCTTCCTAAACATCTTTTACCCAAAGACTCATAAGCTACATATCACACTGCTGTTAGAATGAGCTCTGACCTCTAGTCCCCATAAACACTTGTATAGCATAGTCAGTAAAGGTTACAAAAATTGACAATTCCAGTATGAGTAGTAACCGTGAACATACACTCCGGTGAATTACGATTCAATCAAAGGCCAAAAAAAAAATGTTCCCACGATGGGTGAAGTGTGAACAACTCTAATTGTAAACTTTTTTCCCCGTGTTTTATAGTCTAATGTTCTGTGAACCTTTTTCTTTCTCCCTATCTAGAGTCCTGTTTTGTAAACTTTTTCCTTTTCTTTGTCTAAAGTCCAATGTCCTGTTGGTTGTAAAATTCCGAAATCCGGTTTGAAATATCACAGTCCTTGAGTGTTAACTGTAAAACTTTTTGTCCTTGTCCTGTTTAAATACTGAGAAGGTGCTTTTGCCACTCACCACGGTCTATACTAGTGTCCAATTGTTTTAAATGGGTCCTTTTTCCGCAATGGGAAAAACTCCTAAGTGAGTTCTGTGTCTCAAGTTTTGGCAAAGGGTGAGCTGTTAGTTGTCGGCTCCAGGATGAAGATTCACGGTTCTGGGAAGTTGATGTAGTTGGCCTGTTGAGAAACTGGAACTCTGGAACCCATTGCCTTTCTTTCACGGACTGTAGATTCAATGGCATCAAGGGTCAGGAACACTGGTTCAGCGTGTTTCACTCAAACTGGCTTGTGCAGGCTACCACAGTTTTTGGTCTGGCTTGTGCAGGCTCCCACAGTTTTTGGTTTGGTTTTTCTCTGCTTTATGCATCTTACCGAATGTTCCGGCAGCCATCAAGCTTTATACTTCTCCTGTAAGAAAACACAAACATGCCCTCTACCCCAAATTGGGTCTTCTCCACTGTCTAGCGTATGGATGTCTCCATCTGACCTGAACAAAAGTTGCTCGAGTTCCATCATGCCAGAATTTGTCTGCAGCAGATTGCTCAGTGGCATCCTCGTTTAAGAAATGTTAAATGAAGAGTGCATGCTTTAATGCATCATGTGGGGACTAGGACATTTGGCTGGGGAGACGGCATACCTTTTTTATGGTTTTGTATTGTTAATATAACATCGTTGATGTTGGATTATATTTTTTGATAGTAGAAGAACTTCTTTACCCTTTTTAGTTAAATGTTTAGGTGAATTGGGATTATTATTTCTTTTTAGAATTTTATTTAAGGATCTTAAATTACCAGTAGATGCCCCTAAAAAAGGACATAAACATTGAATTTTTTTTTTTTTTTTTTTGGTTTTTACGAGACAGAGTTTCTCTGTATTGTTTTGGAGGCTATCGGTCCAGCCCGGCCCCGAACTCACAGAGATCCGCCTGCCTCTGCCTCCCGAGTGCTGGGATTAAAGGCGTGTGCCACCACTGCCTGGCAACATTGAATATTTTTAAATAACCTTTGAAAAATTATTTGAAGATTGCAAACTATTTTTTTAATTCTTTAATTTGAGGTTTAATTTTTTAGGCTATAACATATGTTCCAAATAATTTTTGAAAATTACTTAAAGTTTGTGAGTACTCAGGGGCTGGAGAGATAGCTCAGAGGTTAAGAGCACTGACTGCTCTTCCAAAGGTCCTGAGTTCAATTCCCAGAAACCACATGGTGGCTCACAACCATCTATAATTAGACCTGGTGCCCTCTTCGGGCCTGCAGACATACATGCAGGCAGAATATTATATGTATAATAAATAAATAAATCTTTAAAAAAGTTTGTGAGTAGTCTTTTTTAATTTAACTTATAAATCTTTTATTAGCTGACAAGGCCTCATTTGTATCTTAGCTGATATGGCCAGGCCTGATTTGTATCTACATTGACATCTTTGTGGGTGGGGTCTAACAGGTTGGCAATTTTTTAGGCTTTTTTTTTTAATCTTTTTTTTGGGGGTTTTGAGACAGGGTTTCTCTGTGGCTTTGGAGGCTGTCCTGGAACTCACTTGGTAATCCAGGCTGGTCTCGAACTCACAAAAATCTGCCTGCCTCTGCCTCCCAAGTGCTGGGATTAAAGGCGTGAGCCACCAACGCCCAGCTTTAAACTTTTTTTTAAATCATGTATTAACTTTTATTTTTTAGATTTGTTTTTAGCCATAAAAATTTAGGAGGATCTCTGTATCCTCTACTCTGTTAAACTTTATAGAATTATCTATACAGATTCCCTTTGTTCTTAGGTCAATGTTGTAGGGTTTTGTTATTTTTTTTTTAATCAACTGTCTCTGAGGGCTCAAATTGCCAACCCTTTCTGTTAAGACAATGACTGGCTGCATGCAACTTTTGGCTATATCCAAAGCAATGTAGGTAGCTTTTTAACTATAGCTGAAGCAATTTAAATATCCTTTTAATCATACCTAAGGCAATTTGAGCACCTTTTGCTAACATTTATGTATTTAAAATCACATTTCATATAAAGCATTGTGGCCACACCATACCCATAGACCATACATATATACATACATACATACATACATACATCTCTCACCTCTTTCTGTCTAGGTTATGATTAGTTTGTTGAAATGAAACATCCTTCACTGAGTCTCTTGTAACACAGTAGCTGTAGCCAATCCTGGAATCATGTGCATCCAAAATCTGAGCACATTTAAATTTATCTATGTTGTCTTTTTTTCTCTATGAGGTTTTAAAACAGTTTTTGACTGGCTGTGTTAATAGTACTTTTCATATACTTGGCTGGGTGTCAGCCATGGCAGCAGCTCTCAAGGCTGTGAGCTTCCTGTGTTGGCCTTGGCCTTCCCTGCCTTTGCCGTCTGGGCCTGGGCTGGCCTGTTGTCGGTCACCTGTGGCTGCTTTCCTCTCCCGAATCCTGGGCACCAACCTGGGTCCCTATCTTCTCTTTTGTTAGGACATTGTCTGGCCATGTGCCCTTTCTGACCACAGCCAACCTCTAGAAGGCTCTGTGCCTCTCTTCCTCCCTATGCCTTGCTTTATCTGTAGGAATAACATTTCCTGCTGCCCTGGATATCTGAACAAATCTTAATGAACTCATCTGTGTCACTTTCCTTTCTACAAAGTCTTAGCTTGTAGAAAGGAAATGCTGCACTGGCATTCTCATAAGCGAGTTGTTTTACGATCAAAAGCTCAACACCTGTAAGTCCCATTATTCAGGATGATGCCTGCAATAGCCTAGAGACAAAATTCTGAAATAGCTCCTCAGGTCCTTACCTGCTCTTTATAAAGCCTTTAGCCTGTGTCCTAGTGGCTGAAAGCTTGTTCCAAGTTCTCTTGGCAGCTGTGCCAATCTGTGTATATATTGCTATCTCAAAACCTAACTGTTGTAACGTCCTTTCTCGGGGAGCATCTCATAAGAGACGGGCAGGTTTTGGGCTCTATTCTTCTCAGCTGTGATCTGATATTGCTCTGTAAATTATGTTTTCCACAACAAATAGTTTGTTTTTTGTTTTGTTTTGTTTGTTTGTTTTTGGTAGGCAGGCCTTGGCTCTTAGCTTCCAATCTCCTTGGGGTAAGTCTTTTACAGCAATATTCTTTATCAGCGTCTGGGTAAAAGCTGCTGTTGGTCTATACTGAATACAAGCCATCTTTAGTCCCGTTAGCTGTTTAAATGGTATCGGCGTACACACTCTGCCTATGATTCCCTGAGCATCCCTATGCTCTGTCATAGGAAATATCTGAAATCCCTGTACGCTGCTTCGTTTCTTTTCTTTTTTTTCGAGACAGGGTTTCTCTGTGGCTTTGGAGGCCGTCCTGGAACTCACTCTGTAGACCAGGCTGGCCTCGAACTCACAGAGATCCGCCTGCCTCTGCCTCTCGAGTGCTGGGATTAAAGGCGTGCGCCACCAACACCCGGCTGTTCACAGCTTCTCTAACACTAGCTTGCACTGGAGAAACGTGAACTGCTGTGACTGTTCGCCATGACTTGAAGGGTGTCTGTGCCTTAGGCTGATCTATGCTTGATATTGTCGTAGACAAAGGAACATTTTTTTGATCTGAGGAGGCCTGTAAAGTTCTTATCTCCTTTTAGTTATTTCAAAAATTTGTCTTTAGGCTAATACAAACATCATCCAGAACTTTTTGCAATGACACATCTCACCAGTCCTCAGACACATCCCACTAGTCCCCAGACATGTCCCACTAGCCCTCAGGATGGGTTTGAGGCCTAGATCTATTGTTACACAAACTAGAACCCATTTTCCACTGTGGCCAGGCCATCCAAAGGTAACCAGCTGACATCTAAAAGATAATAGATTTAAGCTCCTAAAATTAAACTGAGGCCTATACTCAAAAATATCATATTCCAGCCCCAACAGCTCCCCCTACCCCCCACTCCCGGCTCCACACTGACACCAACACGTGCAACACATGCACTCTCCAGCACACACTCACACAAAACACAAAAGCTGCATGTGCAATTCAGTTTAAAAAGTCAAAGGCCCGGCCGGGGCTGGAGAGAGAGCATTAAGGACACTGGCTCCTCTTGCAGAGGGCCCCAGTTCCTTTCCCAACCACAATTCAGGGTCCAGGGTTTCCAGCACTTCTGACTGCTGAGGGAACCAGCCCTGCACACAGTGCACAAATACACATGCAGGCAAAACACCCACATACAAAAGTAAATAAAATCTTAAAGAAAACTAAAAATGCCTTTAAATTAAAAAAAAAAAAAAGATCAGCCAGGCATTGGTGATGCATGCCTTTAATCCCAGCACTCGGGAGGCAGAGGCAGGTAGATCTCTGTGAGTTTGAGGCCAGCCTGGTCAACAGAGCGAGTTCCAGGACAGCCTGCAAAACAATACAGAGAAAAAAGATCAGGGGTATGACTTAGCAATTAAGAGCACTGGCTGCTCTTTCAGAGGACCTGGGCTCAGTTCCTACCTGGAAGCTCCCAGCTGTCTGTAACTCCAGTTCCACGGGATCCAATGTTCTCTTCTGGCCTCTGTCACAAATGACACACAGACACACATGCAAGCAAAACACCTACATATAGAAAATAAAATTTAAAGGCTAAAAAATTCTTACTGTAAATTTTAACTTACTAAGTGTGTGTGTGCCTGCTTGCCTGTATGTAAATTGCATGTGTGCTGGAGCCCTCGGAGGCCAGGAGAGGGCGTCAGAACCCTTGGGATTTCCTGCCTTGAGTCTCCTTCCCTCCTGCCCCGCACAACTGAGCCAAAAAGCCCGTGCCACCACACTCATCCTGAAATAAACGAGGTCAGACTCACCAAGTTTGAACCAACATTGGTTCCTGAGTTACGCTGAAACTTCTCGCCTCCATCACTCCTCTGAGAGGGGCCACAGTGGTCTCAGAGACCAGGCACTCACAGGCATGTTACCATAATGAACGAAAACACCTTGCTTTGATCTTTCTGCTTTTGCACCTTTTTTTGTTACATTTTACTTATTTATTGGAGGTGGGGCAAGAACTCTGTGGTGCCCGTGTGGAGGCCAGAGGACAACTTGCCAGAGTGGGTTCTCTCCTTCCTACCGTGCGGGTCCTAGGGATCAAACTCAGGTCACCAGGCTTGGTGACAAGCACCTTTACCTGCTGAGTCATCTCACCAGCCTCGAGCTTTTCTTTTAAGATTGCGACATTCTGATTTTGTGATAGACTGAGCTGTCTCCGTTATATTATTAAATTATAATGCATGTGGACACGATAAGCCTCTTGAACTCAATATCCATGGTTACTGTAATGTGCATGCCTCCTCGGGGCTCTTAAAACTTTAATTGGTGATACCAGCAAAGGCCGTCTCCTGCTCTCTGCAATGCTGTGTCGGTTTCTTTTTTGTTTGTTTGTGTTCTAGTCAGTGTTGTGTTGCTGTGAAGAGACACCATGACCACGGAGACTCTTATGAAAGAAGGCGTTTAATTGGGGGCTGGCTTACAATCGCAGAGCAGTAGCTGAGCGCTTCATCCTGATTCGCAGGCAGGGGCAGGGACAGAAAAGGGGGTGAGGAAAACTGATGTTTGCTTTATTTGGTTTTGCATTTTAAAACAGTGTCAGCTGCCCAGGCTGCCCTTGAACTTGACATTCCACTGGGTGTAAAGGGAAGCCTTCCCACCAGACTGATTCCAGAGCTGCATGAGTCCCAAATAAACACACAGGAGGCTATATTAATTATGAAGCTGTTGGCCTCGCTTGTTTCTTACTGGCTAACTCTGACTTGAGTATTTACCCCATAATTGTTAATCTAAGTATTTCTCTTACCGGAGCAAAGATCCGGACCTCTTATTTCTCTCCCGGGCTACATCGTGACTTCCTGTGTTTCTCCTATCCAGAGTCCTCCTGGACTCCTAGTCCCACCTATCTTGGTTCCCAATTGGCCAACAGTGCTTTATTGACATCTACACAGGACTTCCCCCATCAGCTGGAGATAGTCCTCATCTACTGTGTCCTCTCCCCTAGCCTTCCTCATCTTCCCATGTTTGCTCTTTTTGTTCCTATTCCTCCAAGATTCACCAATATGTCTGTAGCTTATTCATTGTCCGTGCTGCATAATATTCCGCAGTGTGAATTTTTCTAATATTAAAAAACCCTTGCCAGGCAGTGGTGTTGCACACCTTTAAGTCCACCACTTGGGAGGCAGAGGTGGGCAGATGAGTTCGAGACCAGCCTGGTCTACAGAGTGAGTTTCAGGACAGCCAGGGCTACACAGAGAAACCCTGTCTTGGAAAACCAAACCAGACGAAACAAAGCTACCTTTCCGTTCTCCTGTTGCTGGATGTCTAGACTATTTCCATTTTCCATTTAAACCACTGGGTACATCTGCAGGGACTTCCAGGGTGTGAAATGGACTTTTTGCTATGTTGTTTTCCAAAGTGGTCACCCAACATGAAGCTCTTAAAACTTGTTTTCTACGCTTAAGTGAGCTGCAAATGTCCCAGACACCCTCTCCTGGCATGCACATTGACCCTGAACTTCATTTCCCCAGCTTCTTAGAGTCTATGGGAGACCATGTCTGTGTTTATTTAACCATTTAACTAGTCTAACAAGGTTGCTTCTGTGAGTGTGTGTGTGTGTGTGTGAGTGTGTGTGTGTAGGCCGAAGATGAACCTAGCTAACCTGCAAGGATCGGATAGGGTAATCTAGCTAGGATGGGTGAAGGGGTGGGTGGGGGGTGTTCCCTGTCTTTACACCTCCAGAGTAATCCCGGAGCACCTGGGGTTACAAAAACATGCATGCCATCACCAGGTGGTGGCGGCGCATGCTTGAGGCAGAGACATGTGGATCTGAGTTTGAGGCCAGCCTGGTCTACAAAGCAAGTTCCATAACAGCCAGGGCTACACAGTTAGAGCCTGTTTCGAAATACCAAAGCACATTCATCGTGTCTTGCTTACGTGACTGCATCCTCAGCCCTCAAGTTGCGCTTTTGTTTTTACTTTAAATTTCATTTTATGTGTATGTGTATGGGTGCTTTGCATGTATGTCTGTGTACCACATATATGTGTAGAGACCATGGAGGACAGAGAAGGAGTCAGGGTCCCTAGGGCTGTGCTGGCAATGGACCCCAGGTCCTTTAGAAGAGTAGCCAGTCTTTTTAACTGTTGGGCTATCTCTCCAGTTGCTTCCTTTTAGTCACATAAAATAATATAATGAATAAGTGAATTCGTGGGGTAGGATGAAGAGAGTTGAGCCAAGGTCTCCCTATGTTGCACTGGCCAGCCTGGAACTTACTATGTCTACCAGACTGGCCTCGAAGTTCCAACAGTTTTCCATTCTCCTTCTACCTTCTAAGGGTTGGGCTTAGAGGCCTGCACCACTGTATTTTGAGACCTTCTTCTCTCCATTTTCCAGCCATAAGGAAATAAAATAATGTATTAGGTTGCCCAGGGGCTTCCTACTGGGTCTCAAGGTGGACAAGCCCGGAGAGTTATTGATCAGAGCTTGAGCCCGGTGATCTCCACGTCTGTTTCCCTATCGGAGATCTTGATGACCACACGGAGGGAGAGAAATGAACCAGACTCGGAATGGAACAGGAGGGTAGCCCAGAGAATTCCACTTTTCTGGCCCCTCCCTGGGGCGGGGCCACCCGTAGCCGGAGGCTCCGCCCTCCCGCCTGGCGGGGACCGGGTCTGTCTGTGAGCTTCCGCGCTAGGGCCCCGCGGGCGGGAGCTGCAGCGGGGCCTGGGCGGCCCGAGCAGCGCGGACCCCGGTTCTCGGCTCCCGGCGCCATGTGAGGGGGTTCGGGGGCCGCGGGGAGCCTGGCGCTCCCCGGCGGAGGTGAGCGGGCGCTGGGCGGGGGCTGTGCCTGCGCCGCGGGGATGGAGAGGCTCTGGGGAGGGGGCCCCGGGGCTCCCCGAGACCCACTTTCCTCGCTAACCGCGCCCCGAGGTGTGAGGGCCCCCGGGGCTCGCTGGGCCTCCCGCTTTGGAGCTGGGGGGACCCTGCCGCGGCCCCGCACCGAGCCGCGCGCCGGGCTGACCTCCTCCCACGCCGCCGGCACCCGGAGGGAGGAGCGAAGCCCCAGACCGAGCTCGGGGTGCGGCCCTCGCCCGCAGCCCAGCGCCCAGCCCCGCGGCTGAGCACGGGCGCCAGGGATGTCACCTCCCCAGCGGAGGCCGCCGCTCCGCACCAGGCCTGTCCACTCCGCGCCGGGCCGGATGTCTGGCGCCCGCCCGCAGGCGCCGGAGGGGACCCTCCTGGGGGACCGGGTCAGGCTCCGCCCTGCAAACCAGCGCGTCTGCCGGGGTCCCTCCGCTTGCTCCCGCGGGCCGCGAGGCGCGTGGCCCCTCCGATCGCTCAGTCTCCTCATCTGTGGAATGGGGAGCGAGAGCACCTACCGGGCCGTGTGGCCAGGAGGCTGCTGTAGGTGGGCGACCCTCAGCGTGGCATGCCCCGTAGACACAGGGGTGGTCCCTGACTTGGGGTCCCGGGGAGGAGGGTTGTTTCTGGGACAGGCTTGTGCAGGGGCGGGCATTGAACCCTAAGGCGAAGGGACACCCACTTTCAAGCCCTGGGCGCCCCTTGTCACGTCTGCATGCATCCTTCCAGTCACCCCAGGAGTTACCAGCTGTTTTTGTTTGTCTTTGGTTTATTTTTGTTTGTTTGTTTTTCGTTTTTTGTTTTCTTCGAGACAGGGTTTCTCTGTGGCTTTGGAGGCTGTCCTGGAACTCGCTCGGTAGACCGGGCTGGCCTCGAACTCACAGAGATCCGCCTGCCTCTTGCCTCCCGCGTGCCGGGATTAAAGGCGTGCGCCACCAACGCCCGGCTGAGTTACCAGTTCTTTTCATTCCCATTTCACAGATGAGGACGCTGAGGCTCAGAGAGGTCACATGGCTTGCTCGAGGCCCCCCAGCCAGTAAGTGTGGACCCGACATTCGCACTGGCATCCGACATGCTGTCCTGATCATGGCCTTCTCGGAGCAGGACCGTGACGGGGCTGCCCAGGGGAGCCGTGGTCCTGGCTGAGGGCACTGCTCAGGCAAAGGTGGGAGAGTGGGGCGTGGGCCTGGGACCTGGAGGGCTGCAGGTGTCAGGAGCGCGGGGCGTGCGCCAGCCAGGGTAGTGAGATGCAGGTGTGTCGGGGGTCTGCAGCCAGGCCCGGGAGCGCTCAGCACGCTGGAGGTGGCGGGGCCGCCGCGGCGACTCTAAGGCTCTGGGGGGTTCTGGACTCCTCGCCCTGACGGTTTGAGTCCGGGGACAACCGCGCCCCCCTTCCGACGAGCCTCGGCTTCCTGGCCTGCCTCGTGGGCGCGGATGGGGGCCTGGGGTCTCCGTGGCCGGAGGTGCAGGGAACCCTGAACCCTGGGGGGCGGGCGGAGGGGGGCGCCGCGGGGCGGGGCCGGGCTTGGCGATGGGCGGGGCCGGGCCTGACCAATCAGGAGCGGGGCGAGTGTGTGGCCCTCTGGCCTGAGGTTTCTGGCTAGTCCTGGTGTGGGAGTAAACAGCAGCTAGGTCAGGGGGCGGGGATAGTGACAGGAACCCAGACGGCCCCCTCCCCCGGGAGCGCTCCGAACCCGGGGTTCCAGCGAGGATCCAGGCCCGGTTTTCCTACTTCTTACACCACCCCTTGCCGCCTCTCGGGCGGCAGCTGTGGGAGGAGGTGGACTAGACCCGAATACTTAGGGCCTGTTACAGGTGGGGACATGGAAGTGTGGCAGGCCCAGCGGTGCGGGGGAGGGCTGGGGATGAGACTCGCCGCTGGTCCCGGCCAGGCAGGGCTATCAAGACCGAGATTGAAGCCGGCCCTCGGCCGAGACACCGCTGCACCTCCGGGCATCATGGCTGTGCCCTTGACCCCAAGATCACACTGGCCAGTGACTGAATTCGTTGAGTCATAGAGGTCTGTGAGGTGGCCCCCGGGACCCCTAGGAAACTTTTGAGCCATCCCTGCTTGAAGGATGAGTGGGAACCAGGACAAAGTGGGTGCAACCCCGAAAGTTTGGGGCGCGTAGGAGGGCAGAGACCTGTGAGACCCGGCCGCATCCAGGGGAGGGCCTCCGGCCGTAACCCTTTCTGGTGGCTTGCAGGTGTGACCCCACAACCCTGCCCCCCGGGCCACCTGCAGGACGCTGGCCCCTACCCCTCAACAGACGCCGCAGAGAGATGAGCAGCAACAAAGTAAGTGCCCTTCGTTTCTTAGCCCCATCCGAGCTGCTCGAAATCTTCTGTGCAGTGGACTCCTTCAATCCTGCGTGGCACCGCCGCTCCTGCCTACACAGGAGGCCTCCGGTCAAACCCCCGCTTCCTTCCGCCGCTGATCTGGGAGGCTCTTGCCTCTCTCTGGGCCCGGTGCCCTCACTTATCTGTGCCAAAGCACGGTGTAGAGTTGTCTGTGGATGCTGTGAGGGAGATGGGGTAGGGAGGTGAGCAGGGGCCATGTTCCAAATCAGAGTGTCTGAGTTCCCCCGTCACCTATTTGTTCTTGTCTCCTGAGTACCTGCTACGTGTTTGGCTCCTTCCCCGGGCTCCATGGCAGAATGGGAGATTTGTGGTTGTGGTAGTCTGAGTCTAGGGGAAAGACAACACAGTCCTTTGACGGGGGTGACTTAATACAGAGGCTTGGCAGTGGGGCACGGAGCAGCAGGGAATGGAGCTCAATCTCAGCACTCAGGAAGCCAAGGCAGGCAGATCTCTGGGAGTTCCAGGGGCAGCCTGGTCTACATAATGAATTCCAGTACAGTCTGGCCTAAATAGACCTGCCTCAAACAAGCAAACAAACAAAGAAACAAACAAAAAGAAATGTGGGGGTCTCTGACTTGTCACGGCTACACTTAGGAAAAAAAATATTTTGCATATGACAGGGTCTCGATTACCCCAGGCTGCCCTCAATACAGTCTAGGATGACCTAGAACTTCTGACCCTCCTGCTTCCGCCTCCCAAGTGCTGGGACTTCAGGCCTGCACCACCACGCCCGGTTTATGTCATGCTGGGAATCAAAACCTGGGCTTCGGGCAGGCTAGGCAAGCACTCTGTCACCTGACCTGCACCCCAGCTGCCCGACACGGGCTCTCTGAATTTTGGTGATGCACATAATGCTAAGCATTCGGTGGGACCTACACTTGAAACCTGAGGTTTCGTTCGTTATGCTACTCTGGTGATACTGGGTGGGGCTGAGGCCCGCAGCTTCCAAGGAGCCCCTCCTGCCGAGAGGAGATAGTTGATACTCTGCTGAGCTGGGATAGTGTGAGCTGGCTGCCTTTTGGATTAAATGCCTCTTCTCCCTTCTGATGGTTCCTACTTGCAGTGGGTTGGTCAGGATGCAACCTCATTGCTAAACCCAGGACCAGGCGTCAGCCCCAAGGGTTGAGGTGCAGGCCCAGCTGGAGACAGCACACTGTGGCCTACTCACCTTCTACTGCCTGGCCCTGCGGAGGCGAAGCTACTGGCTTCTGGGTGCTGCCAGAGGTTGAGTGCCCTGGAAGAGCTGAACTTGTGGTCCCAGTAGGAACCAAAGGGACTTAGAGGGCCTGCCCAGACTCTATTCTTACAGTCTCTCTCCAGCGCCCTCTACTGAGAAATCTTAAAATGCTTTGGCAAGGAAAAATACTGACAAGAGCCTAGGTCCATTTTCACCAAGTATGCAGAGCAGATAAGCATGGGGTGAGACATGGCATGTTCCTTCATATTTATAAGGGATCGCTCCCAGGATCTCCCGAGGAGACAGAAATCCAAGGGTGCGAGCTCAAGCTCTTCATATATAGGGTGGCTTAGTAACTGCATAAAATCATACAGCACATACGGTTTGTCATCTTTAGGTAACTCACAGTGCCTAACCCAGTGTGTGCAGCAAAGCTGCTGGTGTGGTCTGCCTGCCGTCCTAGCACTTGGGAGGCCGAGGAGGAGGGTCAGCAGGTCAAAACCAGCCCTGATTGGAGGTGGCATGGGCTATGTGACCCAATTTTTTCAAAAAGAAAAAAGAAAGAAAGAAAAAAGAAAAAAACTCACAAAATTAGGGACTAATAACAAGACAGGATATATGTTCAGAACTGGTACAACCCTCGTAGGCCTGACTACACTGTTGATTGGGGTTTGTTGGATCTACGAACCTGAAGGTTGTGTGTGTGTGTGTGTGTGTGTGTGTGTGTGTGTGTCCAGATGTGCGCTGACAACTTATGGAGAGTCACTGTCATTGGAAGATCTGGATCCTGGCATTTGGATGGCCCTCTCCCCAGCCGTGTCTAGGCATCCCCTACAGGAACCTTGTCACCCACATCCAGTTCAGTCCAGGAACACTTTTCTTCCTGCACTCTGTAGCCCAGGCTAGCATCAGACTTGTAGCAAGCCTCAGGCCTCAGCCTCCAAAGCACTGGGAAGCATGCAGCACCGTGCTGGGCTCTCTTGAGCTCCTTCTGCAGGCCTCACCTAGGGAACAAGGTTGACCCAGCCTTAGTACTCAGAGCTACAGGTCTAGTTGAAGGGATAATAGTTTGCAAGTGACATGACTAGACTGGATAGTTTAGAAGTAGAGTAATTGCCTCATATACATGAGGTCCTAGGTCGGGTGGTGGTGCACGCCTTTGATCCCAGCACTTGGGAGGCAGCAGCAAGTGGATCTCTGTCTGGTCCACAGAGTGAGTTCCAGGACAGCCAGGACTATTGCACAGAGAAGCCCTGTCTCAAAAAAAAACAAAAATAGGGCCTAGAGAGATGGCTCAGAGGTTAAGAGCGCTGACTGCTCTTCCGGAGGTCCTGAGTTCAATTCCCAGCAACCACATGGTGGCTCACAGCCATCTATAATGAGACCTGGTGCCCTCTTCTGGCCTGTGGGCGTACATGTAGAACACTGAACATAATAAATAAATAAATCCTTAAAAAAAATAAAAAGAAAGGAAAGGAAAGAACAAAAGAGGCCCTCTGTTCAGTCCCTAGGACTGGGCAGGGGAGGGAGGACAGAAAGGAATGCTGGGAGCAGGAAGTGGTACCGAAACTCGTCTGGCCTGGATTGAAGGGCATGGTGGGCTGCAGGCAGGTGGGGTCCCAAGCCTGGTGTGTGCGCGCCTGAACCCTCACTGAGCTCTTCCGTCTCCAGGAGCAGCGGTCAGCAGTGTTCCTGGTCCTCTTCGCCCTGGTCACCATCCTCATCCTCTACAGCTCCAACAGTGCCAGCGAGGTCTTCCACTATGGCTCCCTGAGGGGCCGCACGCGTCGGCCCGTCAACCTCAAGAAGTGGAGTTTCTCCAACGCCTACTTCCCAATCCTCGGAAACAAGGTAGAGCAGCTTCAGTGGGGAGGTCCCTGGCTGCTGATATGCCTACCTCCCAACTCTTTTCTCCCATATCCCTTTGCCTCCTGGAGGAGAGCATGGGTCAGGAGGAGAGCATGGGTGAGGGTCGTGAGTCAAGACCATGGCCCTTAGCTTGGGGTGGGATCCTGGGCAGGTGTTCAGCGGTGGACCTTAGTTCTCATCGGCGTTCCTCCCTTAGTGTTAAAAGGTCTGTTGTCTTGTTTTAGTTTTTCGAGACAGGGTTTCTCTATATTGTTTGGAGGCTGTCCTGGAACTCGCTCTGTAGACCAGGCTGGCCTCGAACTCACAGAGATCTGCCTGCCTCTGCCTCCCAAGTGCTGGGACTAAAGGCATGTGCTACCAACGCCCGGCTCTAAAGACTGTTCTAAAGAAGTCTCTATCTTTGTTTCTGATCATCTCCTTCCATGTTTTTTTGACTAGTGTGCATTATGCCATCTGTCCTCCAACTCTAAGCATCTTCTTTTTTGTTTTTTATTAGCATATATTAATTATGCAATGGGTTTCTTATGACATTCTCTATTTTTTAAAAAGATGTATTTAACCCCAGACTGATGGCTGGGTGGACAGCACGGGACTGATCCAGACTCTCTGAATGTGGGTGTCAGTGAGGAGGCCTAGGCAATCTGTGGGGCCTTGGATAGCATTTATCCCTGGCATACAAATGGACTTTGGCTGCCCATCCCACAGTGAGGGATGCTCTCTCAGCCTGTGGATGAAATGACAGACTCTGGAGATCCCCCATGGAGGACCTGACCCTCCCTGGGGATCAGAGTGGGGATTGGGAAGGGAGCTGGGGGGCCTGGCAGGGGAGGAGAAGGGGAGGGAGAGGGAGCTGGGATTGACATGTGAAGCAAGCTTGTTTCTAATTTAAATGTAAAAAATGAAAAAAAAGAATTCCCCCCCCAAAAAAAGATTTATTTAATATGTATACAGTGTTCTGTCTACATGTAATCCTGCAGGCCAGAAGAGGGCACCAGATCTCATTATGGGTGGTTGTGAGCCACCGTGTGGTTGCTGGGAATCGAACTCAGATCCCTGGAAGAGCAGCCAGTGCTCTTAACCGCTGTGCCATCTCTCCACAACTCTTCTTATGACATTTTCATGCATGTATATAATGTATTTTGATCACCTCCATTCTCCTTTGCCTTCCCATCCCCCCCACCCCACCGCCAACCCTTACCCCAGCATCCATAAATTGCGTATAGAGACTCTGGGAGGGTGGGACCTCTGGAGCCTGTGCTGCACTCTAGGAGGGCAGACATCTAGAGACAGAGGAACTGGCTGTCCTTTGTGCTTTGAAAGGTCACGATGGCCCCCGGCTCCTGCAGGCCTGGCAGTGTGCGGCACAGGGCAACGCCGATAGTGCCCTCTTCTTGCCCCACAGACGCTGCCCTCCCGGTGCAACCGGTGTGTGATCATCACCAGCTCCAGCCACCTGCTGGGCACCAAACTGGGCCCTGAGATTGAGCGGGCGGAGTGCACCATCCGCATGAACGATGCTCCCACCACGGGCTACTCGGCCGACGTCGGCAACAAAACCACCTTCCGAGTAGTGGCCCATTCCAGTGTGTTCCGTGTGCTGCGGAAGCCCCAGGAATTTGTCAACCGGACCCCTGAAACAGTGTTCATCTTCTGGGGCCCCCCACACAAGATGAAGAAGCCGCAGGGCAGCCTCCTGCCGGTCATCCAGCGGGCCGGCCTCGCGTTCCCTAACATGGAGGCCTACGTTGTCTCTCCCACCCGCATGCAGCAGTTTGACGACCTCTTCCGGGGTGAGACGGGCAAGGACAGGTACCAGCCTCCCGCCTGCCCACTGCAATCATCCCTGGCCCGATACTCCCAGCATGCACCCTCCTCCGGTCAGGTTCCCCCCCCCCCCCAGCTGTTAACGTGGGTCATCCTCAAAGTGCTCACCTTGGCCTCACCCTCCCGCCCCTGCCCCCTGCTTCCTCCCTGCATGCTCCACTCCAAGGGAACAGGGCCTCCCAGAATGCTCTGCACTGTCATCGTAGGTGTTCCTAGCATCTTTCGAGGTGGTGGTACTATTCCCCATAGTGTGGCACCTAGAGTCTAGACTGTTCCCAGCATGCCTTGCTATAAGCACACAGGTGCTCCCAGCATGCTCTGTTCTAAGGAAACAAGCTCTTCGACTAATCTCCCTGGAAAACTTAGTCCCCTCTTATATAAATACAATGTGGACCACATGTAACTTTAAATGTTATGGTGGCCATGTCAAAAAAATCTAATGATGTAACAGTGGGTACATTAACTTGAGGGCTGTTTAAACCAGTATGTTCAATACATTTAGCTTCTATACATATGTTGGTAGGTTTATACCCAGTTATTATTTTTTTTTAAGAATTCGTGTATCTGAGCCTTTGGTCTGCACGTGTCTGTGCACTAATTGCATACCTAGTGCCTGAGGTCCTAAAAGGGTGTTCTGCCTCCTGGAGCTGAAGCTACAGGCCGCTGTGAGATACCATGTGGGTGCTTGATCTCTGGTCCTCTGGAAGAGCAGTCAGTGCTCTCAGCCACTGAACCGTCTCTCCTGCCCCCTTTATATCTAATTACTTTTAAAGATTCGTAGCTATTGAAGGGGACTCCTGCACAATGGGGGTTCCCTACCAGACCCCGGATTATACACAGACCACACCCAAACACCTGTTTTCACAGAGAGACCCTTTACTCAGCAGGGAAGAAAAGTTAAAGTGACTGCTTTCAGACTCAGGCAGACAAACAGCAGTAAATGCCCTTGCGGGTGTAATTTTAAGAGGAGAAGAAGGGAGGTCTGTGTTAGAGTGGGCTGGGATGCTGCTGTGAAGGAGGTAGGGGATGAAGGGGAAGGGGACAAGGGACAGGGGACAGGGTATTTGTCCCAGAGGGACAAAGGACTGCCTCTGGATAGAGAGGAGACAGACGTGCCCTTAGGGAAATGGCCGTTTATGTAGGTAACGGGGAAAGCCTGGGTTAGGATGAGGTGTTTAGTTTTGATTGGGCGTGTTAATTAGGTGAGCCTAAGGGGGCTTCTGATTGCTGGACCTTGTTAGTCAGCATCAGGAGGAGGAAGTGGCCAAATGAGGGAACAGACCTTGGTGGGTAGCTCTAGGAATGTACTCTTAAGGCAGAGGGACTGGGAGACGGGCAAAGCCAGCCAGAGTCACATGCTGGAATGGGCTAGTGTCCCTTCAGCTATTGTAAGTGATAGTTTTCAATGTTAGTTTTAGGCTCCATGTTACTCATTGTTAGTATAATTCTTTCTGTGTGTATGCGTGTGCGCAGGTGTGCATACATATGTGTGCATATGTACAGAGGTTGAGATGAATTGTTTTCCTGGCTCAATCTCCACCTTATATTCAGAAGTAGTCCCTCTCTTGAGCCCAGAGCTCACTTGGTCTGGCTAGGTTAGCTAGCCAGTTTGCTCTGAGGATCCTTTGTGTCCCCTCCTGGGCCCCTGAATTACAGATGGGCCACCATGCCCACCTGGGGTTTATGTGGGTGCTGGGGATATGACATCCTGATGTTTGCGCAGTAAATGCTCTCCCCACTGAGCCCCCTCCCCAGCCCTGTTGCTAGAGTGCGTGTATTTAAGAAATGGTTAGTTCTTAGTGTGTTGACTGTTAAACTCACCAGTTCTAGAAGGCTTTTGTCCATTCTTTGGCTTATTCACACACTAATAGTCATGTTATATGCAGGTACCGTCTTCTTCCTTCCTTCCCAATCTGTGCCTCTCCTTTTTCCTCGCCTTGTTGCACTAGCTAGGATTCCAACCCGGGCTGCTTTCTTTCTAGGTTTCAGTACCAGGGCTACACGATGAAGTGCCCCCCTCTCTGGTTTGCAGACGAGACTGTGCAGAACACATACCGTTTGGCAGATTTTGCTGCTGAAACTGTCTGGGCCTGTAGAGCCACTTTCTAAAAGATGTTTGTTTATTTAGTTTCTGGTCCTAGGGGTAGAACTCAGGGCCCAAAGCATACTACTAAAGCTCATCCCCCAGCCCCAGAGTTCCTAGGTTCATTTCATTTAATATTGTAGCTATAGAATGTTCAGGCCAGGCAGTGGTGGCGCACGCCTTTAATCCCAGCACTCGGGAGGCAGAGGCAGGTGGACCTCTGTGAGTTCGAGGCCAGCCTGGTCTACAGAGTGAGTTCCAGGACCGCCTCCAAAGCTACACAGAGAAACCCTGTCTCAAAACAAAACAAACGTACAAACAAAAAAGTTCGGTCAACGTCTTTCACCTTGGGGAGTTCATGGGTTTTAAGCTGACCAGTTTCATGTGAGGCGTCAGATTTGTGTCTGTAGTTATTTGTGGGTTTCCCTTTAGTAAAGAAGTGTGGTCGTTTCTTTTATTCCTGTCTTTGGCAGCCTGTGTCATCTTTGTTTTCTTTGTCACGCTTGTTACAGGGATGCTTTTCTCTTCCATGTTTCAAAGAGTCACTTTCCACCAAGCACATGAAAAATATTTTCAACTTCAGATGTAATTGGGGCTGGAGAGATGGCTCAGTGGTTAAGAGCAGCTACACCCTTCCAGAGGACCTGAGTTTGGTTCCCAGCACCCACATCAGGACAGACTGCTCACAGTCCCCTGTGACTCCAGTTCCGGGAGATCTGATGTCCTCCGCTGGTCCCCATGAGCACTGCATTCCTATGGTGTGTGCACACAGACAAGGATGGGTCTTTTTGAATTTGAGGACAGCCTGGTCTACATAAAGAGAACCCTGCCTCAAAACAAAACCACACACACACATATTTTTAAGAGATATATTCAGCATCAAACACTATGATATATTCTACATTCTGCTTTTCATGCTACCCAAAGGCTCCATTGAATATTTGACAAGCACGCCTCAGACACATCAAGTGCTTACTAAACCCCATGTAGCTGGTGGCTGCTGTAGCCTCAGGGCATGGTGTTCTTTGTGCCCTGCTCTGGGTCTCCTCAGTATCATCTTCTCTGCTACCGTCCCCATAGGACTTTGTCCCAGAGGAGTCACCTGCTGCTAGTGTGCTTTATGGTCAGGGTTACTCCCAGTCTGCCCTGTCTAATTAGCCTCGTGAGCTCATGACCTGTTTCCATCGTGCCTGCCGCCTTCGCCAGCCTGAGTGCTCCCACAGCGGGTGCTGTGGTGTAGAGGCAGGACCTGGATAGACAGTGGGTAGAGCTTCTGGGAACCTCCTCGGGGATTGACCATTTCTCCCTGCCTGCTCCCTGTCCCTGCCTGCGTGTCCCTTCACTGAGCTCCTCTCTGCCCCCAGGGAAAAGTCCCACTCCTGGTTGAGCACAGGCTGGTTTACCATGGTGATTGCGGTGGAGTTGTGTGACCATGTGCACGTGTACGGCATGGTCCCTCCTGACTATTGCAGGTGAGCTCTCGTTTCTGGTTGCCGGGTGGAGCTAGGAGGAGGTCTGGGGATGATGCTGGGGGTGCATCTGAGGGCCTCTGTTGGATAAACCCATGCTGTTCTGCAGAGCTAGGCTTATTGGAGCTGCCCCAGGGACTTCTGCTCCAAGCTGAGTCTTCAGTTTGTCTGTTGGTACTGACTGTATGAAGGTCCCATGGAGTGCTAGCCACGCTGTACTGAGTGCTGACCATACACTCCTCATTTCCTCACCCCATGCCAGCGTACCGTCTTTCCCATTTTAAGAGTGCAAATTGAGGAGGGTATTTAGTGAGGGGGGTCTAAGGTCTCAGAAACTGTAAGAGGTCCCAGACATCCGAGCCCACGGTTCTTAACCATTGCCCCCCCCAGACCCCACTATTGCTCTGTCGGGGAAGGAAAAAAGAGTTCCATTTTGTTTAAAAGACACTTGATGGTTCAACAAACTTAGTTAACCATGTGCACCCTTTATAGGTGGGGAAACTGAGGCTTGAGGAAGGGCAGAGATTTACACCCCTGAGGCTCCAGAGTAGGTGAGGGGTGGAAGGAGAGAAGACCCCTTCCAGGTGCCCATCTTGTCCCGATGCCCCTGACTCCCCTGTCTGCTGTGCCCAGCCAGCGGCCCCGTCTGCAGCGCATGCCGTACCACTACTATGAGCCCAAGGGGCCCGATGAATGTGTCACCTACATCCAGAACGAGCACAGCCGGAAGGGCAACCACCACCGCTTCATCACCGAGAAGAGAGTCTTCTCGTCCTGGGCCCAGCTCTACGGCATCACCTTCTCCCACCCCTCCTGGACCTAGCCATAGTCTTTGCAACCTCGGAGAGATAAGGCAAAGTGGCTCTGGGCCCAGCCATTTGACCGTGGCCATCATCCAGCCAGTTCAGGCTGGCTGGAATATTTCCCAGCCAATCAAATCAGGGCCTTGATGAGGGTTTTTTTCTTCCAACCATTCAGGGCTGGGGTTATCTCTTGGCCAATCAGGGATCTGGAATTCTGTATGGTTTAATCGGGTGGCAGGGGGGTCTTTCTTGTCTAATCAGGGTCTAAGCAAAGTCAATCAGGGTATGGGGGGTCTTTCTGAGTCAGTCTGAGACTCAAGTCATATCCTTTCCCATAAGGCCTTGTGCCAGAGCCCCAGGAATGGGCCCCCACTCATTTCCTCCTTAGCTGGGACAAAGAGGTCCTGTCTCGAGGATCTGGGGACTTGGTGTTACCCCACAGCTCTAGATTCAGAGATACCGTATGTGGTAGGAACTGCTCGGAGGCCAGGCCAATGAGTTTGTGGAGGTCTAGAAATGGTAGGAGGGCCTGGGAGGTAGGAGGTGTGCGTCCAGGCCCTGGCTTCTTCCTGAGTGACCTTGGGCAAGCCCTCCTCTTTCTGGCGTGCTATGATGACATCACACTCCTGAGTGCAGACAGATGCTCACTCTACATTGTAAATTCCCCCAGCTATCATCCCTCACTGGGGAACTCCGCTCCCTGGGGGTGGGGAGCCTAGGGGGCCCTTCCCCGCCTCCTAGAAACTTTAGGGTATCTTTGTATAAATGCTCCCACGGCTGAGGAACTGCAACAGAAGTGGGGGAAACATACAGCTGTTTTCTTAGCCCCCGCAGACCAGCTGCCATTAGCCTGCCTCTAGAAAGGCCAGGCGACTCTTTCTGCTCTGCAGCAGGGGAGTGGTCCCCCTGCCCAAGGGGCCTTTAGGATGGAGAAGGGGTCTCCCAGCCCCACCAGGGCAGCCTTTTGTTTAGAAATGCTGAGGGCTTTGGGAGAGAAGTGTCTCCCCCCAAGTTTGGGATGGAAATAGACAGAAGCTGGGTTACCTGGGTTCTTTTCCCTGTTCAAGCACTTTATTGAATTGGGGCTGGGTGGGGTGTGTTTAAAGCCTCTCTTCCACAGCCTGCAAGGGAAGGACTTCCAGATGGAGGCTGTGGAGTGTGTGTGTGTATGTGTGTAGGGGGGAGGCTGGCCAGCTCGGAGTCCTTGCATACTGGGGTAGTGGAGGTGCAGCGACAACCCCAGATCTGGTTTTGTAACGATTTATACAGAAATAAACACACCTAAGCCCCAGATCAGTGTTCCGTTTCTTGAGTTTGCGTTTTCTCCTGTGCCCTCTCGAGCATCCTAAGGACCAGCCTGTAGTGTTTGGGTTAGGAGCCTGCGTGGTGGGTGTCAGCTGCCTGGGGAGTCTTGGGTCCAAACCAGATAGATCTGATGTTGAGCAAGGCATTTTGTCTCTGGAGTACCAGTAGTTAGGTACTGCTGTCAGGGAGCTCGGGTTCTGGGGAGGGAAGGGTACCGAGAGTTCTCAGAATTCTGACAAGCTGGGGGAAGTTGAAGCCTCAGAGAACAGTTGAAAGAGAAGGGAGACAGGCTGTAGGGAAAGAGCGATGGTCTGGGACCAGAAGTCAACACTGGGACTGGGTGCCTGAAGGCAGGAAAAATCCAGTGAACTCGCAGGTTGTAAACTTGGCTGCCATTCTGTTAGTGCCGAGGATTGTTTACTCCAGGCAGGCAAGAGGTGAAGGGTCCCCAACTCCAGAGAGGAAATTACAGTCTGTTACAGCAGATAAGATTCCCTTGGGAGTGAGGCCTAACAAAGGGTGACTGTGTGAGACAGGACAGGCTGCAGAGGGGCTAAGAGAGAGAGAGAGAGAGCTGTCCTGGGCTCCGGGCCAGGCAAGAAGGTGGCCCACCAGGGAGCGGGGAGGCAAGAGAGACACCTAGCGCTTGTTCCTTGTCCGTGTGGTCCATTAATCATCAGACGCCACAAACCCAAACCGTATTGGTGGCCTCAGTGAAGCAGTGTCAGCTGGGACTAACTGAGTGACAGCAACGGTAAGGAATGTGAGGTGGGAGGACTCGGGGACAGATGGCCAGCAGCCAGGACTACCCGCCCGAGGGTGGCACAGACACGGCGTTGTCGGCAACCGGCGGTGGGGCGGCAGGGCAGAAGGTGGCCTTCAGGAGCTAAGCAACCACTGAGATGCAGGCGGTGACAAGGGGACCAGAGAATCCGAGGTTTACCGTGTCATAATAAGGGTGTCTGGAGCCCTGCCCACTCCATGTAGAGGCTTCTGGGAAGCTGCCCCCCATTGACTGTGTCTGGGAAGAATTTCTCCCACAGTACCGGTGCCTCTGCCTGCCCACAGGTGGGTGTGGAGAGGAGGTCAGATTCTGAATACATACCCGTTATTGGGAAGTCAGCTGAGACGAGGGCTGGAGGTCCCAGGGCCTAGACCCCACCCCCACTCCATCCCAACTCTCACCTCACTTGGAACTCAATGGAAACTTGCTGGTTTCTGAAGCCCACCTCTCTGTGTCTCTGAAATCGTCCATGGTTCCCCGTTCATTCCCTGGCCGGGAGCAAACCTGCCTCATTTGGCATCCAAGGTTTTCCAGGCCCTATGTCTGTGTCTGCACTCTTTGAGGGCGGGGGTATGAAGGGGTGGGGGACATTCTGTCTCTTCTCCCTCTGCCAGAGGGCCTCCCTGCCTCCTCCTGCGTCTCACCTAAAGCAGCTGCACAGCTTTCCCGTGTGTCCTCAGCTTCCTTTCCAGATGTTTCCTGCCGATGGTGGTGGCTGTGCGCCACCTGGGCTGGGCGTGCCCACTCCTGCCCCTCTCTCAGGATAATCCACAGCTGGCCCAGCGGTGGGCCTCGACGTGGCCGGCCGCCTCTGTGGCTGGCCCAGGGCCATCTTCTCCCACCCACTCTCACCCCCATGGGGCTTGTTTTCAAGCCCTGGAATTTTCTGTAGTCAAAAACTTCAATTTTATTTTTAATTATGTGCCCGTGTGGCGACGTGTACGTGAGTGCAGGCAGCCACGGAAGCTGGACGTGAAGAGCTGGAGTTAAGGGCTGCTGTGAGCCGTGCACTTGTGGGTGATTGGAACTGAACGTGGGCTCCCTGGAACAGCAGCACACGTTCTTAATTGCTGAGCCATCTCCCCTGCCCTCAAAATACCCTCTAGTGTTTTAAACTGCTTTGACTCTTCTGTTGTTGTTTTTTTGTCTTTTCAAGACAGGGTTTCTCTGTGTAGCTTTGGAGGCAGTCCTGGAACTCACTCAGTAGACCAGGCTGGCCTCGAACTCACAGAGATCCGCCTGCCTCTGCCTCCCGAGTGCTGGGATTAAAGGCGTGCGCCACCAATGCCTGGCTGTTGTCGTTTTTTTGTTTTTTTTGTTTTTTTCTGGAGACAGGGTTTCTCTGTGTAGCCCTGGCCGTCTGCAACTTGCTGTGTATACCAGGCTGGACTCAAACTCAGATCCGCCTGCCTCTGCCTCTCGAGTGCTGGGATTAAAGGTGTGCGCCACCGCCGCCACATTTAGAATTTTTTAGTTATAAAATAACTTAATCTGGGGGGCTGGACCGGTGGCCCAGTGGTTATGACCGCTTGCTGCTCTTCATTGCTCTTCCGGAGACCCAGGTTCAATTCCCAGCACCCATCTCAAATGACTCACAGCCACTTACAACTCTAGCTTCACAGGCCTGAAGCCCTCTTCTGGCCCTTATAGGCACCTGAACATACGTGATACACACTCACACATACACATAAATTTAAAATAAAACTCAAGCCAGGCGTTGGTGGCACACGCCTTTAATCCCAGCACTCGGGAGGCAGAGGCAGGCGGATCTCTGTGAGTTCGAGGCCAGCCTGGTCTACAGAGTGAGTTCCAGGACCGCCTCCAAAGCTACACAGAGAAACCCTGTCTTTTAAAAAAAAATCATAAAGCCAGTATAATATCACATGCCTTTACTTCCAGCATTGAGGAGGGAGAGGCAAGCCAATCTTTGTTGATTTGAGGTCAGCCTGGTCTACATAGTGAGTTCCGGTATAGCCAGGAATAGACATCCCTCCTGACCTCTGTGAGCGCCAACCTACACATACATGCAGGCAGAAGGCTCACTCATAAAATGAGGGAATCTAATTAGACAAAAAACTTTATTAGCACAGAGCCAGTTAGATGAGCCAGCAGGTAAAGGGGCTTGCTGCCAAGCCTGGTCACCTGAATTCAGTCCCTGGAACTCACTTGATGGAAGGAGAGACCCGAATCTTGCAAGTTGTCCACTGACCTCCGCAAGAGTGCATAGCACATGGGTGCCCACACATTCATGTGGCCCCACACGTACAGAGAATGCACGAGAAAAACATTATAAAAAGTCTGTGGATATATAGCCCAGTTGGAATGGAGCTTACTTAGTGTGCGGGGGCCTCTGTCTTCACCCTCAGCAAACTGGGCTTGGTGGAGTGTTTGTCATCCCTGCACCCCAGAGGCAGGGGGTCAGGAGGGCTATGTGAGATTAGGTTTCAGAGGAAGGAGGGGGAGGGAGAGGAAAGGGGGCAGGAAGTTGGGATGTATGGAGGGAAAGTCTGGGGTCAGGCTCCCCTGGAGGCACACAGTGGGGGTGGCACCCTGAGCCAAGGTACCTGCACAGTAGGATTACTCTGTTTTAGAGATTTGTGTGTATTAGTGTTGCCCCTGCCTGGATATCTGTGTACCACATGTGTGCGTGATGCTGTGGGAATGGCAAGAAGGTGTCAGGTGCCCTAGAAATGGAGTTACAGTTGTGAGCTGCCATGTGGGTGCTGGGAATTGAACCTGGGCCCTCTGCAAGATGAAGTACTCCTAACCACTGAGCCAGCTCCCTCCCCACCCTGACTGTCCTGGAAGCCCCAATGTAGACCAGGCTGGCCTTAAATTCTGATACTCCCTGGATCGTTCACTGGTGGCGCACACCTTTAATCCCAGCACTCAGGGAGGCAGAGGCAGGCGGATCTCTGTGAGTTCAAGACCAGCCTGGTCTACAGAGCCAGTTCCAGGACAGCCTCCAAAGCCACAGAGAAACCCTGTCTCGGGAAAAAAAAATTCTGGTACCCTCTTTACAGCCAAGAGTGGCCTTGGATTTCTGATTCCCGTCTCTCACTGGCAGAATCATAGGCTTGCACCACCTCCCCCTGTTTGTATGATGTGACTGGGGTTTGAACACAGGGCTTTGAGGGAGGTACTCTATCAGCTGAGCTACATCCTAGCCTCATCTATGCTTACAATCATTTTTACTCAGGTGTGCTTCATGCCGCGGACTAAGGGGGCTGCTGCCTCAGCAAGTCAGGGTTCCTTTCTCTCTCAGGTCTTTTGACAGGGTCACCGCCTTCCGTGCACCCTGCTGTGCCGTGGCCCTAGCCAGTTGCAGTTGGCGTTAAGAACCTTCCTGAGTGTGAACTCTGTTCCCACAGGTGTTTGCTTGAATGGGTTTCTAAAACGTGATCTGGTAGAAGTTTGGATGACATCACGACTCTGCTTTCCCCGGAAGTTGTGCAATGCACACAGTCACCTAAGTGTTTTAAGAGGGTCTTTCAGACCAACTCAGCACCTCCGCGTCTGCCCCCGACCCCCCAACTGTTTGATGTCACAGGTGCCAGAGTTGGGACTAGATCAGGCATCTTGGTATCCATGTTGCCGCTGTTGCTAAGGCAACACCCAATCCTTCTGGGGCTCCCTAGTATTTACAAGAGAATTTCCAGTTTCATCCCGTCGTGCCATTTGGAGCCACTGCCTGGTCTTATGTGGGTTGATGGTCAACACATGAGCTCTGAACCTTGCCCGTCCTGGGCTCTCATCTTCCCTACTGTTTCTGGGTACCTGGAACGTTATGCCAGTTGTCCTGCGGAGTGCCCCATAATAAGCACGTGGCTTCCCACCCGGGTGGCCTCTGGGTCCTGCTCTATGCTTATGGGTGCCCTGGGCACAGCTGAAGTCTGCTGCTAGCATTGTGATCCACCCAGGTGCTCACAAATAAGAGCTCTCGTGGTTTACAAACCCCCAGTCTGATACACAAAGCTTCCTGAAAGTCCCTCTCTCAAGTGCTCGATTATGGGGGGGCTGCCCAGCAGCTTCATGGGGTCAGGGCTGGCTTATCTACCTAGCCACCAGATCTTTGGGGTCCCAGAGGAGCTCATATAGTCTTTTCCAACAAAAATGTCTCAGAGCATGAGGACTGCGGCCCTTGGACCCCAAGGTCTATACCCTGGTCCCCCTGCTCCTTACTTCCCTCGTCTGGCCTTTTTTCCACCACAGTGAGGTCTCACGCACACAGCTCATCTGGGAGTCGGTTTCTCCAGCTATAGAACCCTTGTCCATGGGGAGTAATGTGCGTTTGGCGGAAGAACTTCTGTGTACAGGTTCAGTCCCCGGGGGTGCCTGCTGGGGACGCTCACTCTTCACCAGCCTCCCCATCAGAGTCCCTGCTTCCTCCTCCCCCCTCCTCAAGCCCGCCCTCTCCCTCCTCCCTTCTCTCTCCCTGCCATCTCGCCAGAGTGCTGGCTCCCAGCATGCCATGCGTGCGCGCACTGACAGCCTTATAAATAGTCGCCTTTGCAGGCGGCTGAGAGGACGGGCAGGGCACACACCGGCCCCGGCGCCCACCACACCCTCCCCCAGGTCAGTGTGTGACTGCTCCGTTGTCTTCCCGTGCAGATACCTCCAAAGGGAGTGGGGAGACGTCACCTGTGGGAAGGAGGGGGTGCTCGTGCCAGGCTACCCTTGGTTCTGTGTCTTGTGTGTTTGTTGTTTGTATCCATGGTTATGAACTGTGTATTTGCATGTGTGTTCTGTCGGCTCTGGGTGCATGCGCCCTGTGGCAGTGTGTGTGTGTGTGTGTGTGTGTGTGTGTGTCTCCTCCCAGCCTCCCAGACCCCTTTGTCCCAGCTAATATTCCTGGGGCTTCATGTCTGTGCCCTTGGAAAATCTCTGCTGAGGCCCGAAGGGAAGGGGGACAGACAGTGGCCTATCTCCCTGCCCCAGAGGACGTGGGTAAGGGCAGCCCATGTGCCCCGAGAGCTGTAGTGTCACTTTGAGTGTCGGGAGGCCTGGGGTATCTGAATGTTAGAGCCCTGCCAGACCTCCTGCTGGATCAGAGACTCTGAAGGAGCCTTGGGGCCTGACTCACACCCAGGACCCTTCAGGAGTATCAAGACTGGCCAGAGAGAGGGCACTTGCTGCCCAAGGTCACCCAGCTGAGTGATGGAGCTGGATTTGAAGCCTCGGGGAGAGCTTCAGAAGAAGGTGCATCTAGGACGACCAGGCCTTGTGACTGGAGATGGTGTCCCTTGGGGCCTCTGCTTCCTGAACCACCTCAAAGACCACTACTCAGTCATGTTAGGAGTCACCAGGGCCCTGGCCCAGGGAGCCTTATAAGGCCTGGCTGCTTAGTCTGTAACCTTATTCTGTCTGGGACCCTGGGCCTTCGGGGGGCCTCCTCACCACCTAAGTTATTTTAGGCCAAGGAAGTGGCAGGTGTCTGTGGGGCAGCAGGGGCTTAGGTTACCAAGAGGGGGTGGGGCAGCTGGAGTGGAGTGGCTCCCTAGGACATCCTGGTGACTGTCCAGAGTCTGGGACACTCCCCCTCTCCTGGGCAGCTGCCGAGGGGGGCTGGCAGCACCCTGCCTCCTCCTGCACACTCGGCAGGCCTAGAGGCCGCATGTAGCTCAGGCCCTGTGTCTGTGCGAAGTTACTCGAGGTACTTGTCTGGTTTGGGTTGCCAGGCCTGAGCTTGACCCCAGCCAGAGGCTGGAGCTAGTCTGCCTTCCTCTCCGGGCCCCAGTGCCCTCCCCGATGGCAGGCAGGATGGAAAAGAGGGTCCAGTTCAGGGCTCATCTCCTGCCAGACCCAGCCAGGGGCAGGCACAAGGCGCATGGTGCAGGAGAGGAGTCGGACACAGCATGCTGGCCACCCTGCCACCAGAAGTGCAGAGGGGACACCTGTGGGATTGCGGGCTGGGATCTAGGAGGGCACCCTGAAGGAGGTGTCCTGTGGCACTGGAGAAAGGCGTGCCCCAGGATTGGGGGTCACACTACAGAGCTGTGGCAGGTGCAGGCGCAGTGTTGCAGCCGATGAGAAAGCAAGGCCAGGCCCTGCCGGCGAGCACGGGAGGTTCAGGTTTGGTGACTGCGGGAGCGGAGAGGGCAACACATGGGAGGCTGTGAGAATTGTTGCTTTTCAAGGAAAATACATCTGCCCACGGGGGGGGGGGAGTGTTGAGTGTGTGTGCGTGTGTGTGCGTGTGTGTGCGTGTATGAGTGTATGTGTGCGCGCGTGCGTGTGAGTGTGTGTGAGTGTGTGTGGTAGCCTGAGGCTCTGTGGAGGCAGGCTGCCGTCTAGGCTGGAGAAAGACTGCAGAGGAGAATGTTGGGATGAGTGTGCAGGGAGGAGCTGGGATGGGCTTGTGTGGAGCGCGCAGGCCGACACAGGACTGACTGCACAGGTGGGGATGGGCGGTCCCTGGGGCCTGGCGCCTGAGTGAGGGGACAGATGCGTGTGTCAGGGACGCAGACCCAGGGCAGAGCCCGGCAGGCACAGGGAAGCAAGTTCCCCATGGGGGGAGTGGTAGGGCCTGCGTGAGGTGGATTTGGCCTGCCTCGGTTTAAAAACTCAAAAGGACTGGAGAGAGGGCCGCTCAGCAGCCGAGAGCACCTGCTGCCCTTCCAAAGGGCCTGCACTCTGATTCCAACACCCACACGGTAGCTCACAACCACCTGTAGCTCTAGTTCCAAGAGATTCGACACCCTTCCCGGCTCTTTCATGTACTACAGGTACATGGTACACTTACATACATGCAGGCAAACACTCATACACATAAACTTAAAAACAACAGAACAAACCACCAAGAGCCAGGTGTGGTAAACATTCCAGCGGCCCCTGCACTGGAGAGGCTGAGGCTACAGGGCTGCTGTTATTTCGATGCTGGCCTGCACTACAGAGACTGACCCCTGTCTTAAACAGAGCAACAGCAAACTGTGTCCTAGAGCATTCTTCTGCCTACCTGTTCTGTCCACAGGCAAGAAAGCAGGGCACTCCTACCAGCATTCCTGTGCCCGGGGAGCACTGCCGGGGACCTGGTCCTTCGCACTAGGAACTCTAGTTCATTCCCCTCTGTGACCTCTCCCCGGTGCCTCCAACAGAAAAAGGCACACGTTGGAGGTCTGACAGAGGCAGTGGAAGCCAGCAGGAAGGTGACTGTGGTCATTCTGCCTCCTGGGCGTCCCTTTCCCCTTTTGGCCTATCAGTTTGGAAATTGCCTGTTGGAGCCCGGCACTTACCTGCCGTTGCTGTGGGTGGGGCTTAGTGGAAGCTGAGTCGGGTGGGAGGAGAACCCCTCACCCCTCCGGTGCCTTGTCTTGCAGAGTGCTGACCTAGCTCCCAGACCTCAGCAGGATGGAAGGTATGAGGTCCCCTCCTGCACGCGTGTTAAGGGGTGGGCTCTCACAGGGATGGTCTGGAAGGGTTGGGAGAAGCCTGGGGCTTCCTCCTCTGGCCCATCAGGATATGCAAAGCCTCTCTGAGGTTTCCGGGGACCCTAGAGCTCACCTATGCTAGTATTTACAGCCAAGCCTGGCCTTTCCTGGGGGAAGGGGATGCTGGGATGGGGCTATGCTATTCAGCAACTCCAGCTGAATCAACTGCTAAGCTGGGGCGGGGGCGGGGCACATGTCTGGCCCTTGCTGGGACTTAGTGTCCCTGTCACCTAGTGGGGTGGACCCCGAAGTCTCGAGTCTTCCTGGCTCCTGTGCTCTGGGTTATGGGCAGAGTGCCTGGAGTGGGTGGGTTCTGGCTTCTGGCAGCGTCATTCCCTGGCACTGAACGCTGGTCAGGCATGAGGGCTGCCACTGTCTAAGCCAGTGGTCACCAGCCTGCCCCTCGGCTGCCTCTCTTGGCCTCAGGCACGCCCCTGGCAGGGCCTCCTTGCCGCCCGGCTGCACCCCAGGCCACCAGGGCTGGGACTTCTAAGGAGGCAGTCTGGGAAGTCTGCTTACCTCCCTGTCTGAGTAAGAGTTGCATTTGCCCACAGGCCTCCTCCCTGGCAACAATCTCTATGGCAACACATGCTGTAGTTGTCCATTCCACGTTAGCACTGCTGGGGCAGACCAGCAATGGGAGGGCCAAGCCAGGGAGCAGGGCGACAGCCCGAACAGCACTATGGGCTGCTGTTCGTCTAGTGAACCCCGAGAAGAGCAGGACAGGAAAGCCAGAGGTGACCCACACCTGGGGGCCAGCACACCCAGGAGGCACCATGGGGTTGCCATCCCAGTCCCTGAACCACCTCGGATTCTTAGCTGAGTTTTTAGCCTCTGGGCTTTGTCTGAGTGGGCCCAGAACACCCCATGCCCACCCCTGCTCACTCTGTGCAAGCCTGGGTCACTTGTCTAGCCAGTGACTAAGTCCTGCTCCCCTGTTCTCTCCACAGAGAAGCTGAAGAAAGCCAAGATCATCTTTGTGGTGGGTGAGTCGTAAACAAGCACGTGGTGAGCGAGCACTGGAGGGGTCTGAGCGGGCACAGGAGGGGTCTGAGCGGGCACAGGAGGGGGTCTGAGCGGGCACGGGAGGGGTCTGAGCGGGCACGGGAGGGGTCTGAGCGAGCACGGGAGGGAGTCTGAGCGGGCACGGGAGGGGTCTGAGCGGGCACGGGAGGGGTCTGAGCGGGCACGGGAGGGGTCTGAGCGGGCACGGGAGGGGTCTGAGCGGGCACGGGAGGGAGTCTGAGCGGGCACGGGAGGGGTCTGAGCGGGCACGGGAGGGGTCTGAGCGGGCACGGGAGGGGTCTGAGCGGGCACTGTAGAAGTTTGGGACTGGGGCTCTGGTGTTTTGTTTGGTTTTTTGAGACAGGATCTTTCTACATAGCCTGGAACTCGCTCTGTAGACCAGGCTGGCCTCAAACTCACAGATCCGCCTGCCTCTGCCTCCGAGTGCTGGGATTCAAGGTGTATGGGGCTCTTCTTTGAACTCTGGTCTTCTCTCATTGAGGGACTCTATCGGTGTTCTTCCTGAGGCTTCAGTTTTTGGGGGGTTTCTAAATGCGTGGGTGCTTGCAGGCGGACCTGGCTCAGGAAAGGGCACCCAGTGCGAGAAGATCGTGGAGAAATATGGCTACACCCATCTCTCCACTGGCGACCTGCTGCGGGCAGAAGTCAGCTCGGGATCGGAGAGGGGCAAGATGTTGTCATCCATCATGGAAAAGGGACAACTGGTGCCGCTGGTGAGGGGCCCTGCTGGGGGCGGGGGGAGGGCGGGGCCCTGCGGGGGTGGGGGTGGGGGAGGGCGGGGCCCTGCGGGGGGGGGCTGGGGAAGGAAGCTTTGAGCCCGAGCCCTGCGGGTCAGCCTGTCACCAGGGCCCTCAGTAGTTCTGAAGCCTCTTGTGGTTCCCCAAGCCAAAAGTTGCTTCCAGAAATAGCAAAGACCCTGCCTCCCACTCTTCCTCCCCCAGTGTCTTGGCGTTCTATCTCCAATCCAGTGTGACTGGAATGGCTTTCCCTGTCAGCACGCAGACCTCCCCCCAGGCTCGAGCTCAGACCCCTAACTTTTTATCGGAGTGGCCGCCTTCTGTTGTTGTTTGTTTGTTTGTTGGGAGGAGTATGCACATTCTGTGTCACCCATGTGGCAGTCAGAAGACAACCTGAAGGGATTGGTTCTCTCCCTCCACCATGTGGGTCTGGGGATCAAACTCTGGAGGCAGGCTTGGCGGCCGATGCCCTTACCCACTGAGCCACCCTGCTGTTCCGTTGGCCCTCCTTCTTCTCAGATTTTTACCCTTCCACTCTATGCCATGCTTAGAACCATAAGCCAAATGTGTCCCTGTCTGTCCCCTCCCCAAGACCCTGGACTTGGTGAGTGTGGGGACAGGAAGAGCGCTGTGTCCTGACCGGAAAGGGGGTTCACTTGAGGCCAACCCTGGAAAGAGGGACTTTCTGGGACTCACGTGCTCCAGGGAAGGGGGCATCTTGGGTGGGCCAGCATGAGCCCAGGCCCAGGGAGGTGGGGTGAGAAGGCTCAGGACACACTGTGCTGTACAACAGGAGACTGTGCTGGACATGCTCCGGGAGGCTATGTTGGCCAAAGTGGACTCTTCCAATGGCTTCCTGATTGATGGCTACCCTCGGGAGGTGAAGCAGGGAGAGGAGTTTGAACAGCGGGTAAGAGGCCCCGGGTGGTTGTTGGCCAGGGTCTGGGCTGCAGCTGAGAAAGAGGGAGGGGTAGTGGAGGCCGGGCTACAGGGGGAGGGTGGGGAAGGTCTAGCGAGACCTGTCATAGCCGCCACAAGGAAAGACACGAGGCTTTGAGAGACTTCATCCTTGAGGGGCTTGTCACAGTACAGGGTGGAGGAGAAAGGTAAGGCTGCTGTTGGGAGAACAGAAGATGGGGTCAGGGTGACCAGGCATGACATGGAAGAAGGCTGTTCAACCATGGCTGGAACCTGGGGTGCCAGGGAGAGGAACCTGGCTGGGAAGAGCTGGAATTGGGAACGAGAGTTCTAAGTTTCTGCAAGCCTTTGTCCGTCAGGAAAACAAGGTCCACGAGTGACACCTGTCCCAAACACATACGTTCACAGACAGACATTTGTGCACAGGGTCCACCTACACAAGCAACAGGCACCGTAGGATGCATAGGCATGCATAAGCCCGGGTACACTACACACACGTGCACATGTGTGCTGGATGTAGCACTTACTACAGGGGTGCGTGCATGTGAATTCACATGCTGGCACATACAAGTGTGCATACATTTACACCGTATGAGGCCACGCAGGACTGTGGGGCTGTAGGTGCTGAGTGTGTGTGTGTGTGTGTGTGTGTGTAACGAGGGAGGGGTGGAGGGCTAATTGGGCACACTGATGGACTGGGGGCGGAGTACCGCCAGCCTCACTCCTGCCCACCTCTGTGAGGGTTAGTCACAACAGGATCCTGTATGTCGCAACCTCTAAGAGTCTGAAAGACCTCAAGGAAATGCTTGTCTTGCCCTGAACCTTCGCTTGCCAGTCTGTGAAATGGGAATTGGTCTAGCTGCCTTGAGGCCACAGAGCCTGCCGCAACCCTGAGGCATGCCTTGTCTGTCCCCATTTTCTCGGCTGTGTGTATAACCTGCAACTGTCGGGGTCACATCCAGCAAGTCAGGGCTGCTGTGGAACTGCCTGCGATTACAGGCTTCACCCAGGGCTTGGCGGCTTCCTCTGCGAATCCAAGTAACTGAAGTTCTCTGATCTTGACACTAGGGGGTGCCAGACCCGCACAAAAGGAGGAGGGGTGAGCCTGGAAGTAGCTTGTCCGGCTAGCTAAAATGCCCAGAACTGCTTTGGGATGGGTAGTGTCCATGGCCCGCTCCTTAGGCTAGTTGCCCGTTTCCAGACTGGGAAACTGAGGCTCCCGCCAGGGATGCACTGCCCAGAAATTTAGCTGTTACCACAGCTCCACTTCCCCCGCCCAAAGTGCGGCTCGAGAGTCTGCTGTGTTTGGTCCTGCGGACTCAGAGGGTCTCGACGCCTGATGGCGGATGGACGGCGGCGGCGGTGGCGGCAGCCTTGGTCTGGCTCTTGCCACTCACAGTCTTCTCTAAGAGAAGAACGTGGTAAACAGTCCAAGGCCAGCAGCTGGTGGGACCATCCCTTCCTGGAGGCAGCCGATGCTTAGCACCCTAAACCCTCAACCTCCCAGGAGGCCGACTCCAGACTCAGAAGTGCCGTAGCCCGCCCCAAGGTTGCTTGGTTGGACAGAGGCGGGAGAGGAGCTGTGAGAGTCTGGATGACAGCTGCTTAGAGACCTCTGGGGACTGAGTCAGCTGAGCTCAAGAGTAGACAGAGCTAAGGGTGGCTTCCCTCACAAGCCCAGCCTAGCCTGCGCCAGGCCTGGGGATCTGGTGGTGGAGAGGCAGGCTCCCCACTCTGAGGGATGGTGTGGCCTAGACAGCCATTGCCAGCCTCCGTGCAAGGCCCAGCCCGAATGGGGGACACTGTGGGGGGGCACTGGTGGCTGAAGTGAGGTCTGGGCTTCTGGGCCTATTCCTTCATATTCTCCAAGTCACCTTTGTGATGAGTGGCTTATACCAGTGACGACAGTGACACTCAGCTTTCCTGAGCAGCCTTTACCCTGTCCCTGCTCTGGCTCCTTTGTCAGTCAAGGCCTCAGAGGGAAGGGGGGCTGTCACTAGGTAACTACCTAGCCCGTCAGGGAGAGGGGAGACCACGGGACCAGGAACAGTCGGAGTCACATCTGAGGAGACTGCCTTGCGAATGAGAGTCTAGCAGAAGCTCAGTTAGCCCCAGTTGTGGCTAAGGGCAGCAGAGGGACATGCCTTGGCCTGGCATGGGATGGAGACAGAGCATAGGTCAGTGTGGTCAAAGGAAGGCGGGGTGGGGGGGAGCAGGCGTGACACATAGGTGCTGTAGGTCTGGTAAGGACTTTGGGCTTTCTCTTGGAGGTCCTAGGAAGCCGTGGAAGAGGTTTGAACAGAGGAGTGCCAGGGGTCCGTGTTTTGGGGAAGGCCCTCTGGTTGCCTTGGGGAAGGGACTGACGTTCTGAGTGGGTCTTGCGTAGGGCTTCAGGCTAGGAGGCGGGAATGGGTCCCAGTGACGCAATGTCCACCCTACACAGATTGGACAGCCCACACTGCTACTGTATGTGGACGCAGGAGCTGACACCATGACCCAGCGACTCCTGAAGCGCGGGGAGACCAGTGGCCGTGTGGATGATAATGAGGAGACCATCAAGAAGAGGCTGGAGACCTATTACAAGGCCACAGAGCCTGTCATTGCATTCTATGAGAAGCGCGGCATCGTGCGCAAGGTGGGGACCTCCTCACGGTGGGACCTTGGCCAGCCCTCTCCCTCCGCCTCAGTTCCCCCTTCCCGCCCTAGTTGAGTGAGCGGCTATTGGAGTGGGGGGGTGTGGATCCCGCCACGGCACCGCTGTCCTCACCGTCCATGTCCCCCACAGGTCAATGCGGAAGGCGCAGTGGACACTGTCTTCACCCAGGTCTGCAACTACCTGGACTGCCTGAAGTAACTGGCGGCCTTGGCCCGCTCCCAGCCCACCCCACCCTTGCCCCCTGACCCCAGGCAGCCTGGCTTGAGCCCAGCGCCTCCACCCTGCTGGGCTGTGCACAGACACAGGAAGTTGCTTTATCCTGTTCCATGGACATCTGAGCACTAAAGGAATTGCCAAGGACGTTTGGGCTCGCTCCCTTTTCTTTGCTTCCTTTGAGGTGATTCATGCTGCCACGGCCAAGGCCCCAACGCTGCCTGCCCATTCTTGCCTGTGCCTCTGCGCCCTGTCTTGTCTCCCTCCAGCTCTGCTGGGACCCTAGGCCCTTCCTTAGGCAAGCCACGTCAAGCCTGGGGACTCGTAGGCTGACAGGCAGACTGCTCCTGGGCTCTGAGGGTCAGCCTCTTTCTCAAAGCCACAGCTTTGGCTCAAAGCCATCATCTCTCTGGAGTGAGTTTTGTTCTTTTTTTTTCTTGCCTTTTTTCCCTTTTGCACGGCATCTCGTGTGTCTCAAGCTCGCCTCACGCCTGCTGTGTAACTGAGGACCGCCGTGGTCCTCCTCCTCCACGTCTCTTGAGTGTAGAGGTTACAGGTGTGTCCCCTTAGCACTCCCGTTATATGGGGTGCCGGGGACCAGTCCTGTGGCCTTGTCTACACTAGGCCAGCACTCTGAACTGAGCCGCATCCCCGGGCTGAGCAGGTTTCCATGCCTGACTGGAGCCGGGACTGCAATAGGCAAAGGGCCATGGGCTCACCAGGTGGAGCCCCGCGGCTGCCAGGTGTCAGGAGCTGTGCAAGGGACATACAGCTAGGCGGGGAATTGAGGTGGGGGCGGCCTTCCTGAGGAGGGGATGCAGAGGCTCCCCTGGTACGGCCTTGCCAGGCCTCGCCGCCCTTTGAGCTGATTCCATTTCTAAAGCCTGTTCTGCTATGTTGTATCCCAGCCTCAGTGTTAGGACAAGAGCGTACTGATCAGGGAGTGTGAGTTGTCATAGACATGGATGTGAGATCAAGGACCAGGCCTGGCACCTGGAGAGGACACCCAGGGGTCTCCAGAAGAGCTGGCACCTCTCATCACATAGGAAGGCTCTGTTGGTGCTCACCTAGCCTTGACCCCTGCCCCATCACTAGTGACTTGCCCTCTAGGCCCAGATAGCACTACCACAACGGCCCCAGGGACACCTGCCCCTGGGGGTGACGGTGCTCGTCCCCTTTACTGCCGGCGGGGCCACCCTTCCTTTTGCATCATCTATTTAAGCTGTCCTATAAAATAAATAAACGTATTTCCGTTATAAAAGGTGAGTGTATTGAAAGAATAACTTGGAAGAGATGAATGTCAGGAGGCAGAGGGCAGGCATCACCAGGCACAAGCTTCTGCTAGTCCAGGGTTTGGGGGCGAGGTCTCCATGCCTGTTCCTCTGTCCCGCAGATGGACTGCAGGAAAGCGGGAGGGTCTGGAGCCCCACACCGCCCTACCGACTCCCCCTCTACAAGTGCCGTGGACACACACATAAGATCATGCCGTATACGTAACTGTGTACTCTTACACCGATGCCCACTCACATGTGAGCAGAAATGCCCGGGAGAAGAGAAAGCTGGAGAAGGGGCCTGAAGGCAGCACTGCCTTTGTGTGTTAATTGTAGCTCAATGAATGGAAACCTGGCCGATCAAACCACAAAACTTTACACCACTGGGTCACTCTGTCCATTAGATTCTAAGGGGACCCAGTTCCAGGACCCTTGAACATACCCAGAGCTCAGCATGCCTAAGTCCCTTATGTAAAATGCTGCAGGAACTAGACATGGGGCACCAGCCTGAGCTCCTACATAGAGGGGGAGGAGCTTAATCGCTGGCCAGATAGCTTATGCCTATATCATGAGGCAGGAGGACTGCCACAAGTTGATGGAGGTCAGCGTGGATTATAATGTAAGAACTGATATACATTTTTTAAAAAAAGGCTGGTTGTGGCAGCTCAGACCTGTAACTCCAGCATTCAGGATGCAGAAACAGGAGATCACTGAAGATGCAAGCCAGGCAGGTATACCTAAGGCTCTCCAAGCAGCCCAGCAACAGAGTGAGACCGTCTCTCAAACCCCACTTCCTGCCAAAATAAAGAACCAGAACTAGAACCTGCATATACCTTCTAGTATATTCTATGTGGTCTCTAGATCACTGGTCACTCATTAGACAGTATGTGTGCTACGTTACACTGTAAGGAGAAGAAAGTCATTTCCATATAGATACAGTGCGAGAGATCCTTCCTTGTTTATTTTGAGACGAGGACGAGTTATGTAGCCCTGGCTGGCCTGGAGCTCACTATGTAGACAAGCTGGCCTCGAACTAATAGAGATCTGTCTGTTTGCCTCTGCCTCTGGAGTGATGATAATTTTAAAGGCCTGCGCCACCACAGCCTGCCAAAAGTCACTCTTCTAAGATGAGGTTTGCTGTGTTGTCAGGCTGATCTTGAACTTCCAAGATCAACCCTCCTTCCTTCACCTCCGAAGCTCTGAGGTCACAGGCAAGTGTCACCACATACAGCTGCCAACATGCCACTGAAGAAACTTCAGCCCTTGCCGGGTGGTGGTGGCGCACGCCTTTAATTCCAGCACTCTGGAGGCAGAAAGAGGTGCATCTCTGCGAGTTTGAGGCCAGCCTGGTCTACAGAGCAAGTTCTAGGACAGCCTCCAAAACAATACAGAGAAACCTGTCTTGAAAAACCAAAACAAAAAAAAAAAAGGAAAAGAAACTTCAGTCCTAAAATACTTGAAGATGACTTGGGGGAGCCAGGACATCTTCTTGAACACCCATAGCTTATGTGGTAGCCACAGGGTCCCTCCTGTCACCCAGCCAATACGGGGTCCTCGAGTGGCTTCCCATTTCTCCCTAAACTTCCTCGAAGCTGGTTCGCTGAAGCAAGGGTGTGATGCAGGACCACACGTTGCTTTTGGTCATCAATTTTTTTTGAGAACTGGTGCCGGGGATGGAGGCTCTGTGGGTCCTCATGAGGCAGGGGCTCTCCCAGTGAGCTCCAGCTGAGACAGACCTCTCTCCATTGAGGACAGCTCTGCCCCTAGTTTTGCTTTGGTCTGTGATAGGACAGCTATCCTGCTGACGTTCCAACCCCCAGGCCCGTCTCCAGCCTGCTCCTGGAGCCAAAGTTCCCTTCTGTACTGTCGTTCCTGCACACCTATGGCTAGTTGGAAAAGATGTGTTCACGCTGAGCCTTCAGGACAAGGGCCCTTGTAGGTGAGGCTTGTAGAGGGTTTACAGCCAGGCAAGAAGGTCTGTAAACCCAGCCCTTGGGAAGCTGAGGCAGGAGAATCGTCATGAGATCAAGATCAGCTAAAAGAGATCAAGATGGCTCCACCCTGTCTAAAAGAAAAGCCAAAGCTGGGGCCTACAGAGATGGCTCGGTGGCTAAGAGGTCCAGAGTTCTGTTCCAGAGACCCCTGTGGGAACGGGGATGAGGGCTCACAACTGTTTCATGGGACCCCAAGCCCTCCCTGGATTCCAAGGGCACACACATTCATGAACACACACATATACAAAAATAAATATTTTTTTAAAAATCAGGTCTAGGGCCAGGCGTTGGTGGCTCATGCCTTTAATCCCAGCACTTGGGAGGCAGAGGCAGGCGGATCTCTGTGAGTTCGAGACCAGCCTGGTCCAGGACAGTCTCCAAAGCCACAGAGAAACCCTGCCTCGAAAAAAACAAAAAGCAAAAAAAAAAAAAAAAAAAAAAAAAAATCAGATCTAGGGCTGGGGCTGTAGCTCTCAGTGGGTAGCGTGCTTGTCTAACACGAAAAGCTCCAGTTTGATCTCCTGTGCTCTGTAAACTATACGTGGGGCCCACCTGGTATTGTGGCAGGAGGACCAGAAATTTAAGGTCACCCTCAGCTGCATAGCAAGTTTGAGGTCAGCCTGAGTTACACAATACCTTGTCTGAAAATAATAAAATCGAAGCAGGTCCAGTGCCGGGGTGGCCTCCAGCAGACGGCCCTCAGGTCGTACACCGCAATCTGCTCGGGGAAACCAACTCTGCAGTGGGAGAAGCCGAGGTCAGAGGGCGGCAGTAGCTGCTGGTGGGGAGGAGGGTGTGCTCTGGAATCACGCTGGAGTATCGTGGGTGTGGTAGACATCAGAAGGTCACCGATGCTGTCATCGACGTCTGGTCTCTAGGGACGGTCCAGGCAGCTGCAACCTGGGGGACTGTTCTCCATAGCTTGTAGGATTAAAGCCCCTGTACCCAAAGAGTCTCAGAGAGCATGCTCCGCGGAAGGCATTGGTGGGGTGGTGGCCTCAGATGCCTCCCCTGGACTGCACCCCCATGTCGGGCTCAGGGTCCCCTGAGTGCCTGGGCCGGAGGCCCTGAAGAGGGAGAGGAAGGAAGCAGGGAGCAGAGGAGGCCAAGGCTGTCGCCTCCCAGCCCTGAGAGGGGCCTGGAGTAAACAGGAAGGCCTGGCGGCTCCACCATGGGGGTGTTCAGAGGGCTGGGGGCCAGGAGCCCTTCTGAATATGGACAGACTGTGAGCAAGGGGTTGCTAAGGAAGTAGACCAGAGAGGTTGTTGGGCTTCCCCCAGGTCACACAGCAGCAAAACTCATAAGACCTTCCAGCATCTGTTACCCTCCCTTGGAGTCAAGGCCCGCTCTCTGGACTCACTTTCCCCTCTACAAACTCAGAACACATACTTCGGAGGTTCTGGGGAGCCTTGCTCAGGGGAGCCCTCAGCCTCATGAATGGTTTTCCATATATATATATCATATATGTGTGTGTGTGTGTCTGTGTGTGTGTGTCTGTGTGGGTGTGTGTGTGAATGTCTTCATAAGTACATGTTTAAACTACTTAATTATCAGGAAGAATCCACTCTTGTTTTTTTCTGAAACAGGTTCTCCCTATGTGGCTCACGCTGGCCTAGAACTCAAACCTCTGAGTGCTGGGGTTCCAGGCCCAGTGATACTTCAGATCCTGGGGAAAAGGTTGCCTCAGGAAGGTCTGTGTGACCCCTGCCGTGGGGAACATAAAGGGACTCTGAAGGACTTAGTTCTTCTAATGCAGGGACTCTGATCCTGGGGTCAGCTGCATTTGGGGGAAGTTGTTCTTTCTCTGGGAGACTCACACGCCTCCACACCCATATCCTGGGGTCTCAGCCTGTCACTTAGGAGACCTGGCGTTGTGCAAGCA